GTTATCTCCTCTAATCACAATCTTTGTAATATGTCATCTTATGCTGTAAAGATGCAATAAACATATCACTTCTCTCCCTCCAGCAGTTTAGGTCCATAGCTTTGATGACACATTTGAGGTTATGAGCAAGTTTTTTTTTTTTTTTTTTAACATGAGATGCTAAAAATGGAAGGGAAAAATAAACCAGGGGGTAAAGTGCACTTCATCTGCAATGAGGAATTTCAGAGGTCTGGGGCGCTCAGTCGTCTCATTCTCTTCCAAGAACACTTCTCCTTCCTGTTTCACCTCTGGCATGCCGCCCAAAGTACCCACAAACCACGGAGGCCAAGGCTGAAAATACACAGATGGTAATTTGCACTACATTTCAATACGACTCAACCGCCATTATATATAGCCCTGCTGCCTGAACCCTGATCCTCACTGAGAGTATCGCCTCACCTCAGATTTCAGCTAAAAGATGGGCTCTTTATTTCTTTGTCACAGACTACCAGTTGGACCGGATAACAGAGATAGTTGGAATTGAAATGGAGGAATTGATTCAGAGTTTTCATAATGTAGGAATGCCTAACATTGATTCAAAACACAGGAGGATCAAGACATTAAGTCAACATAATTAATTGCTGGATGTTTAATGGTTTAGCATAGAAGAAAAGTGTAAGTCAGTTTATCAAGTTACTAAAAGTAGTCCTTGACTACTACTAAATAATTGACTACATACTGTATGAATTTATATGGAAGAACTGCTATTGAGGGTACAGTTTCTCTAATGCACAATTCATTTTAAAAAGTTAATTTAAAGCAGCGGCGTTAACTTCCCAACACAAGGCACAGGCTATTGCACCATACCAGAAGTAAATAAGTTACCTGCTCCATTGTATGACATTTTGCTTCAGTGATCACATGTCTTACTCTTGTTGGTTGTCATGTTTCATTAACTTCCTAATGGAAACAACATGATGGATAAACTTTGGAGCAATTATCATGCTGCTCCTGCAAAAGAACAGCAGCATTTAACAGATTGGTGGCGTATCATTTTATGTCAAGGGAGGAAATATATGTCTGCTAGCACCCACACATCCAGCTGGGTTTATTTAGAGCATCTGTCTTTATTTATTTTTAATATTTGTATTCCTGGTTATGGAGACAGGAGAAAGTGGGAAAGAGGATAGGGAGAGGGAGACATATACAAGTAGGAAAAAAAAGCATGTGGGTGTGAAAGAGATCAAGCAAGTGGGAGATTATGGAAAAGGGAAGGGAAGCGATCCTGATCCAGTGTGTCCCAATTAATGGAATTACCTTCCTCCTCGGGAGGACTGTTAGTCATTTGCAGAGACGCGAGCCCGCCAGTAGAGCGTCTCTCCCACCATATTGTCCAGCATGCACTAATAAGGCAGCCCTGACCGCCGGGCGTGCTCATTAGCATAGCCCGCGGCCGTGGCAACCCCCGCCAGGGCCCAGCCGGACACTTAATTACGTTCCTACATTCCTTCCTCACTACATCCATACTCACCGCCTTCCTTCCTCTGTCCTCACCCCCTGCTCTACCTCCTTAACCCACCCCCACATACACACACCACCACCATCCCCCCCCCCCCCCCCCCCCCCCCCCCCCAGTCATAGCAAGGAAGATGTAAGGCTAATCATTTTGATTGTGAAGTCTTTAGTCGTGGTATGTTGTGGCAGTCTCTGTTATCTTAATTTTTTTGGTTTCGCGGTCAGCAATCTTTGCGAGTTTAGTGATTCCCTGACCTGCACTACCTCCCTCTAGCTCGTGCTGCTTCTCTCTTTCCTCTTACTCTCATTGCTATATTAGCTCGTGGGCATGACTCTCATTTTGACATCGGCACAGTATTGATGCACCCCTGTCCAGCCTTAATCGGCTAATGGCCTCCTCTTCTTGCCTGCCCAGCCAAATCCAACCCCTCCCTTAACCATCCTTCTGTCTGTCCCTTCCTTCCTTCGCCTTCCCGTCTCCTCTCCCCCCTACCCTGTTCAGGCCTGGGGTCAGTGAGGCCAATTTTCATGCCTGGATAAGTCACAGCTTTGTGTGTGTCTGTGTGAGAGAGAGGGAATATGTTAGTCAGCAGCCTCACACAAGTCATGTGGTGTGTGACCTCCTGACCTACCTTTACTCCAGCGCCTCTCTCTTCCCTTTACCAGCAACCATTCTGTGTGACAAGGAAATCTGGCTGACTCTCTCCACTAAACTCATATGTATGTGCATACACACACATCTGACCTAGAAAAGCCATAGCCAAAATAATCCTGCCAAGTTCACAAATGGAGATTGTTGACAGCACTGCGTGGTGAAACAGTGAACCTGTAATGTCCAACCGTTTTAGCTGTAGTTACAGGCTGTGAGCTCCCTGTCTCTTATTTTGTGACCGGTTAATAAAACACACAGGTTTCCAAACACTGTATATCACAGAGGTGCTACATCAAAATATTTTTAGCTACTCAGTGTACATCTCTGTTCCATCACAAGGCAGTTTTTTTTTTTCCAGCCAGTCTCGAAGTCTTCTCTTTATGTAGCCTCGGCTTGCACTGTGACTTGTTATGGCTCTCTCTTTGCCTATAATGTGGTGGCGCTATACATCTCTGTGGCCCAGAGAGAAAATCTCTCACCACTGCACCACTGAATCACCCGTGTGTGAGTGATAACAGATCCAGACTGCTGAGCACCCCGCAGCTGTTTGTCTCAACATGCAAGTCATCCCCGCCATTACACCGCTAAATGGTTCCCTTTCAGTGGCAGACGCTTGCCGCCTCAGCCCGTATCTCCATGCCGCCATCACTTGGGTGGGTGGGGGGGGGGGGGCATTTACTGTCGCAGAGAGCCAGCCACTGTACCGGAAGACAAATAGTTGAAAGTGTGTCAGAAAAAAATGCACTGGGGGGAAAGGACTTTAGCATTAAATCTCATTCTTTGTTGTGTACATGTACTTTAAACATATGCATGCACATGCATATGTTTGTCTTCATACGCGTGGTGGGCATACAACAGCAGTCGCGAGTACAGAGCTCAGATGAGGCCCCCCTAAAGCTTGGGCCGGAGACCACGACCTTGGGAAATGTCATTCCGTCTACGGGGGTGGTTTGCCTGTGACACACAAAGCCATGGTAGTGAAGTGCATCAGTGCACTGTAGCACTCTGCCAATCTAGTGGTGTAGCGTTGCGTTCAGCTGCACCTAACCCTGAGGTTTAAGAGTGAACCTAGGAAGCAAGAGAGTTCAGCCTCAAAGCTGAGACCTTGGGTCAGCAATCTAGCGATTTCCCTCTAACCACATTACAGCCATTAGTGGCTCTTGCTGCTTTTCGCATGTCACATGGAAATGGGTCAAGCCCTGCCCTGCATGACTCACTGGCTCTTTCTCCCTCTCTTTCTTTCCTGTTAACCCTACTTAGGTGGCAAAATGGAAAATTGGGTTCGTAATTATGGCATTTTTATTCACCTTTTTATAACTAAAAAAATAAAGTCTTAAGAAATGAGAAGGGTCCTGCATACTGTTTATCCCCGTCAGTCCCTTACATCTTGCATTGTTTGTGTAGGTGTAAGTCTATTAGACATGGGTTTGTAGACAGTTTGGAAAGCCCACCCCCAATATTATAACATAATCTGTTTCGTTGGTTTTTGGCATCTGACATTTTCTACAAAAAAAATGTAAGATTGAAGTGTGTATGTATGAGACAGAGATGAGAAGATGTTGAGAAGCTTGCAGGCCCTGTTTGATATCTGTTGCAGCAGGAGAGTAGCGGTCATAGTGGGTTGTGATTGTGGTCACCTTTGTGGACCATGGCGAGCCACGCTGGCCAGATGTCAGCCAACTCTAATGAACCCTACAGGTTGCAGGGCTGGGTTGCCTGGCAACAGTTTTGCCTTTGCCTGTAAACAGAGACCAGACCCACCAGGCCTCTTTCAGGGTCGTGAGGGTGAAGAAGGCTTTGCTGTGTGTGGAGATACTGTATGTGTGTTGGTGTGCGAGACATTTTAAATAATTCTTTCATTTCCTTGTTTTTGCGATTGTACAAGTGCCCATTTTTCTCAGAAATCTCAGCCAGCTCCTTTTTTATCAGATGTTTTGTGAGGTTTTGTACAGTAACCCAAAGAGGAAGGGGGGGAAAGTCTGTTTTGACATTTTGTTTTGCCCAGACTCGGTGCTTTTGACATATTCTTATGGAGGTTTGTTAATATGTATCAGGAATATTCACTTTTCTTTGTTCGCCCTTGTCTGGCAAGCTGTAATGTTTTGCTTATGAATATTGATACATGAAGTGTATATTAATGACCCTTGGTGACCTTAACCCTATCCTTATTGGCTCCCTGGTGGTATCTGCAGGCTCATGAATATTAATCTAGTTCTGTAACCTCCATTACCCTAATCTTTGCTGTCTAGCCTCCCAGAAGGACCCGTTGTCATGGTAACCCCTTTACTAGACTCTTCCAGACCAAGGGTGGGAAAAAATATGGTTAAAAAAAGGACAGAAAAATCTAAATTACTCAAACATCTTGGATGTGCCTTGTGGAAAGCTGCCATTATATAAGAAAGACGTTGAATTTGTGTTGGAACTCATTTTAGTAGTCTCCTTGCTGAGCACTGAACAAGTGTATTTTTGCACCTTTATGTATTTTAAATGGCAATTTGACTTGGGTTTGGGCAATTAATTGTGATTCTGAATGTTCAAAATTGTAATTCCAGGCTACCACATGGTACAGATCACTAATTGCGCTGCAACATCAGACAAGAAAGGATGTGAAATAATAAAAAGTGAATAGTAAATAATAATTTCCAATGTTAAAAGCTGCCAGAGGCTATGCCCATGCCCTCTACTTAACTCTTAGTAATAAGAAGACTCAGGATTCAGGATACTCAATTGTTTGGCTGAAAGATAATGCCTAGATGAACTGTTCACTAGAGCAACACGGTGATGTCTTTGTCCTAATACTTGATTTGTTTATAATTCCATCGAGGTAAATGATATGTTCTCTCTCCTCTACCAGATGTGGATAGCAACGAGGAAGGAGGGCCTGATGACGGTCCTGTGGAGGAGGAAGGCTGGTTTGGGAATGCTTCTGACACACGCTCAGAGTCGTCGTCCTATGGAGACACGCAGGATGAGTTCCTCCTGCCCAGGGGCTCCTCTCCTGATGAACGGGCTGGAGTCAGCGCTGGGTCCGGGGACCACGATACCTGTGGAGGCGAGAGCTCATTGGGTTGCCCCACACCCGTCCATCGTACCTCTTTGGAACTTCTGGGACTGGATGGAGGTGCATTCTCGGCCCAGGACACACTGTCTTCCGTGGTATCATCACTATATGGTGAGGCAGCATCTCGTGCCCTGGGAAAACCCCTTAGCAGCAACCTACGGCGCCTCCTAGAGGCTGGTTCGCTGAAACTTGACACTGGGGAGCTCTTGGGTCGGTCATCCAGGGGAGGTGCTGAAGGGGAGTCTCCTCCAATAGGTCTAGCCCCATCTTTGACCCTCTCCCCGTCTTCCCACCATGCCCAGCAGTTAAGTGCTCTTGCCCGAAAACTGGCCAATACCAACAACAGCGGCTCAGCCTCACCAGCCTCCTTGGCACCCTCAGTCACCAACATTAAGCAAGAGCCCCTTGACCCCTTTAACTCTGTCACCCCTAGCAATGGCAGTGGCTTTGTATGGGCAAGTGTTGCAGATAAGTGGCCACCAGCCAGCTGCTCCACGCCCTGCGGCTCCAGCCTCTCCCCAGACTCTGCAATCCAGAAGTTAAAAGCTGCAGCAAATGCTGTACTTCAAGACAAGAATGCCGTGGCCTCCTCAACAACAACTTCTTCCTCCTCCTCCACCTCTGCCTCATCTGCAGTGCCCGCCCTCGGAGGGGGTGTTCGAGGAGATGATGTGGTGCGCTTTGATGCCTTCAACTCTCCGTTCAGCCCACAGTCAGCTAGCTCCACCCTCGCTGCACTTTCCAAGAAAGTCAGTGAGCGGAGCCAAGCTTCATCAACGGCCAGTGCTGCTACTGACCACCAAGCCCCAGCCAGTTCCTTTCTCTCACTTGTCTCAATGACGTCCTCCGCTGCCTTGCTCAAAGAGGTGGCAGCCAGGGCAGCAGGAAACCTGTTGGCAGAGAAGAAGGATGGCTGCTCCTTGGCGTCTGCTGGGGTCCTCCAAGAGGACGTGAAGCCCTTGCTTGACAAGAACCAGAAGGCTCCTACACCGTCTACACCCAACCAGAGCCTAGAGTTGCTGTTGCCCTCTACTCCAAAAGGCAGAGTCAAACCCAACAGCCAAGCAGGTAATCTAATGTAATTATTAGTGCTGGGCACGATTAAAATTTATAATTGCATGATTTTCTAGGGATTAATCGCAAGAAAAGGTAGTGTTTTGCTCAATTTTAATTTAAATGTACTGCTGTATACAAAGGGTGGCGCGGTGCAGCAGTGGTTAGCACTGTCGCATCACATCAAGAAGGTCGTGGGTTCAAACCCCGTGTCCGTGTGGGTTCTCTCTGGGTGCTCCCGCTTCCTCCCACCATCCAAAGACATGCAGGCTAGGTTAATTGGTGTCTCCCAAATTGTCCTTGGGTGTGGATGTGAGTGTGAGTGGTTGTTTGTCTATGTGTGGCCCTGCGATGGACTGGCGACCTGTCCAGGGTGTACCCCGCCTTTTGCCCGATGTACCCTGCCTTTCGCCCGATGTCAGCTGGGATTGGCCCCCCCCCCCCCCCAACCCTGTACGCAGGATAAGCGGTTGACGATGGATGGATGAATTAATTAATGCGTTGACGCGATAACGCGTCAAGTTAAAAGGTGTTTTTTCATTAATGAGAAGTTTAAACATTAAAACACTTCATTGTTGCCTTTTGTTAAACACACAGTCAGGCTACTCAAGCTCAAGCAAGGTTTCTACAAGTAAATCAATTTCATCTTCCTTCACCATGCCTCTTTCTTTTATTTCATATTTACTTGAAAATCCTAAGAAAAATTCCCTTGTCAATATCTCTCTTTTCATTTGCCCTAATGGACAGCTATACATGTGCATTTGTTGACAAGCTCAAGGATTTGGATTTGGTGGGCTGACGGATTATGATCAAAAACTAGCAGCGACTTTGCTAACACAGCCACCAAGCAAGTGCAACAACACAAGACCTTGCAAGCCAGCTAATGTAACTTTCTTGTCTAGCAGCAAGAAGGCCGGCTCTGCGTCTGTCTCGCAGCCTTCTATTTCACTAAGCTCTTGCCAATGATTAAAAGCCAGTCCAAGATTTACTCTTGTCTGGCCTCTCACTCGCTCTTTTTCTCTTCTTCGCTTCCTTTGTCAATGTCCTAGTCGATCTCTTTACCTCTGCCACAATGTCCGCACTGAGGAGACTGAGCTAGAAACTGAATCCCCATAGTTGGTGTGCAGGGTCGGTCTGGAAAGAAAATTTGGCGCAGTCAATTTTCACGTGCATCTCCTGCGTCTCAACAGGATTCTACAGTACAGGAACACCCAAAGCCAACAAGCACAGTAATTAGAAATAAATTCACCTGTATCTCAACACAGGATTTATAGTGCAGGTACGCTCAATTAAAGCCAACAGCACATTAACAAAATACGCCGCTCTCAACTACAAATAAGAGATACGCTTAAGCCTTGTATTAACAACAACAAAGACTTAAAAACAATTGACAGCAAGCTATAATGTCACATATAGCAAAAACAAGAAGGACTATATAACTCTGTACTGTAACACTTCTTGCACCTACCTTTATCATAAGTAGCCTATTGAGAATTTTGGGACACTGTAACCCCCAATCAGATGGGCTGTTCCAACATCAAGTGGGCCGTTGCTTGCAGCTCAAGTTTCTTTTCCTACAATTTTTCCCCCCACATTGCTGGTGGGCTGGCCCATCTGGCTTTTGCCAGAATTGCTATATTGCCAGTCTGAGACTGTTGGTGTGTGCCATAAAGCGTTATGCACTTCTCATGGGAGATCGCTCGATCCCATCCACCCAAGTTACATGGTGCAAGAACAGGCGTTTGGGGTGCAGATTGGGAATGAAAGTGCCATTCATCAAAAAGATTTTGAAACTGTAATTTTAAATAGTAAATAATGTTGCTTTAAGTCCTGAAATTCAAATTAGTAATGCTAGTACTGATAAAGTAAAAGTAATACTGCAATGGAAGCGTGACTCTAAGAAGATAAAATGTCTTTGCTGTCATTGTGTGGGTGAGTAGCAGATTTTCTTGTCACCAGTGTCATCAGAAAAAGCACAATTCTGAACTTCCATGACCTGTTTTCTCTAGTTTTGTAATGGTTTTGTTCTCACCTCACTGGCGCTGAAGTAGCGAGTAGTGTAGCCTCAGCTTAACTGTCAGCCGAGCAGAGCGCATAGCCGAGAGAAAACAGCCCTGGCTGGCCTTCTAGTCTGGGAAATGGTCTGTGGGCTCGACGGGGGGTTCCGACTGAGACCTCACTGCCTTCCCAGACCAGCTCGTTTGTGCTCGGATGTGCGTGCTGCCAAAAGGGGGCCGTCAGTGTGTGCTCTGCACAGTGGGGAGCCCTGGAGTCCATATCCATCTCGGCAGCCTCCTCCTGGCTTCAACCCCCACTAACCAGAGCCCTTTGCTCTGATCAGCACAGCAGACTTAAGGCCAAACACATCATACTTTCCACTGACTCGATACAGATGCGTGCACACATACTCTCTCTTTCTCTCTCCCTCTTATGCTCTCTCTCTCAGTTACTCACAAATGGCCATGCAGTATATTCTGTAAGCATGTACTCAGATGTAGACACATAACCCAAACAAGGGTGCACACAAAGATCTCACTCTTGGACAGGGAGAGGGAAAGCTTCAAAGTGCAGGCTCTTACTAAGTAGCCTTTAGGGAGAACAGAATGTTTTCAGGGAGATGGATGGGCACTTTTGAGGGATTGTGTCGCAACCCCGCCAAATCTAAAATGGCTGGATCAAATTGACTTCAGACGGATGAGGCAGTCGATGTAATATTCTGTGATCTGCATGCTAAAAAGGGGGTCTGCTCTAACCCGCGAGCCGTCAAGGTCGAGCAGCGCTGTAAAAAATGCAGGTAGTTGTTTGGTCGCCAGACTGAAAAATGTGACCTTGATTATTGACTGTCGTGTCTTGTTTTATTGTCGTCCCTTGCCAGTACCACTATAAAACTGTATTGCACGGATATGTTCTGCAGTTTGAATATATAATGAAAGCTTACTCCCTTTCTCTAAAACATGGTTGTGATTACATAGGGAACACACATGTTGGGCACTAAGATGAAGGTACTAAACTCTCACACACACACACACACACCCTCTCCTCCTTATTTATTTCCGCTTCACTCAGCTCAACTCAGAATAAGCAGAAGTCATTTTTTTGCATTGTGATCTTTGCTGTGCTTGGAGAGGTTGGGCCGCAGATGGCGGTTTATTGTTGCAAATAGGCAGTCTCGAGGTTTTACACCTCAGGTCAATGAATGGCTGAGCACAGTAATTTCACCAAACACTGATTACCAGATGTTTTTCAAGGAACGGCCCTGGAATACTTATGAAGCCATCCTGACAGGCCCTTGTAGAATTTGTAATGCAATCATGCCTCTTTCTAATAAGACCAATTAAACAGTAATGAATGCCGGATATGAAGCCAACAACAATAATCGAGATACTAAAACATGCTTGAGTTTTTACTTCCATTGTTCCATTGCTTCCAGCTGGCATTTCCCTTCACAGTTTTCACCATTAGGTGTGGAGTAGTCTCTTTTAGATCTGTGAAAACAGTAGTTTGTATTTGTAAGGGCATTAATCTACAACATACTTCCACACACCAAGAAACTGATGACTGGCTTTTTAAAAACTCTGAATGTTCTTTGTAAATGGTAACACTGTCTTTTGGTGTCCTCAAGGCTCTCCTGAGGATGGCGGCAAACCATTCCAGTGTCCTGTGTGTGGACTGGTAATCAAACGCAAGAGCTACTGGAAGAGACACATGGTCATCCACACAGGCTTGAAAAGCCACCAGTGTCCCTTGTGTCCCTTCCGCTGTGCTCGCAAAGACAATCTTAAGTCCCACATGAAGGTGAGATGACAAGGATCTTCATCTTGTGACCCTGCTCCCTTCATCGCCCTCACCAACATCATCTTTAATTAGTGTATATTATAGCTGTTTGAATATAATTGTTAACATTAAAGGATTTGCATGCTTTAGTTAAATTTTTAATATATCTTCTACACGGCATAGTTAAACATTACTGCATGTTTTTTTGATGCATTTAACTTAAATGAAGCAAAGAACCTGTAGTGATTTGAAACCTGTCCTCCTTTTCCAGGTACATCAGCACCAGGACCGGGGTGAGACGTTTCAGTGCGAACTTTGCCCCTTCACCTCCTCCCGTCACTTCAGCCTGAAGCTTCACATGCGCTGCCACCAGCACTTCCCTCGCACAGACATGAAGGTGAAAGAGGAGCTCACGACAGACACGGAGGGCGAGGGTTCCCTGATGGGTGACAGCGGCTCCGCAGACCTGAGAGGGACGGAGGTGTCCCCGCTGCACTCAGAAACTCGGCAGCAGACGTCCCCTCCGGTCGATGCTTCCTCCAATCACGTCCACATCAAGGAGGAGCCGCAGGAGAGAGATTTGTCTGTGCTTTCCCCCTTCAGCATGTGCAGGGACCGTCCCATCAGCAGTGCTAACTCCCTGGATCTACCTGGAGTCGGGGTAGGAATCGGGGTCAGATCCAGTCCTAGTGGTTCAACCACAGCCTCCCTATTCAGCCCCGACATCAGTACCAAGACAGCCACTGACCTGCTTATGAAGCTTTCAGGTTAGTATCGTTTTTCTTATACAATGAAAATGTAATTCACTCTAGGGCTGCAACCAACGATTATTTTCATTATCAGTTAATCTTCGTCAGCAAACAGCAAAGAAGTGCCCATCACAAGTTTGCAGAGCCCATGACGACGTCTGAAAATGTTTCGTTTTGTTTGACCAGCTTTCATGAATTCAAGATATTCAGTTTGGTATCAAAGAAGACCAGTAAATATTAACATTCACAAATTTCCTTCTAGAATAAAGTTTTATCTTGTGTTATTTCACAGTCAGTATTTTTTTCCATGCTGTAAAAATTGCTTAAATGATTAATTGATTATTGAAATATTTTAGAGCTATACAGATGAATCAATGAATGGATTAGTTGACAACTATTAAATTAATCACCAACTATTTTGATAATCGATTAATCGTTCTCTTCTATGACATTCTGAATATCTTTGGGTTGTGGACAAAACAAAACTTTTGAGGATGTCAACACTAATTTTTCTAATATTTTATAGACCAAACAACTAATCAATTAATCAAGACAATAATCTACAGATTAGTCAACAATGAAAATAATGGTTAATTGCAGCCCTGAAATAGTTCGCAATTTCTTTTCTACCGCCTGATTGACTACGTGATTCGGCTCTCTTTGCTAACTTGGGAGCCTTTGTATTATGTCGCCTGTAAGAGCTTCAGGGCTGCGATTTCCTTAATAAATAGCCAAAACGTCAAATTTTCCCATAGCTGCTGTTATAATAATAATAATAAAAAAAACAGACCCTATTTGTCAGATGCTGGATCAGAAAAATATTGGACCTCAAATTCGAAAGGTTTGCTGTGACACAGATTAATTTAAACACCGTACATTGACCCTTTCCCTGAACGAGAGAATCAGTATTTTTTTACTGAAGTACTTGACTTCAAATTTCAGATGGTTCTGGCATGGATTTATGTTATCACTGGAGTAATATACAGTAAGATAATCACTAGCAAATATATTTTTTGCACTACTGTGGTGCAAAGAAAATAAGTGAAACGATAAGTCTGTAAGAATAGTCTGTAACGTTAGTTTAAAGCCATTTTCTCACTCATATGTGGCCGTTACAGTAAACAGAAAAGTAAACACGGTGCCCGTGTTGATAATCCTAATATATCATGCTGTGTGTTGCACAGCAATTGTGCTGCTGTTATAAGCAATTTCCAGTTTGCAGCGCTTACAGAGCACCATGTTGTTGGGTCTCTGTCTAAAATACTCCCAAACTTTAGATGGTCGTAGGTGAGGTTTTTTAGCGGCAGCTTGTTATCTTGTAACGTTACGTTACCATGACAGCAGCGGGGCAGAAATTACTTTTAACATGAAGGCAATGAAGAAATACTACGTGTCTTCGTGCTGATAATGTGCCGTGCTTGTGTGGCGACAGAAAGTAAACACGATTTGTGGTGCTGCCGTCTAGACAAAGTGCTGCAGGATACTTTTGTTTCGTATGTGCAGCTTCACGTATTTGTGGACAGCAGCTGTGCTGCAGTGAAGCTGTTTCCACTTCACAGAGCTCACAGAGCAGCACGTTGCTGAGTGTCTGTCTGAAATACTCCAAATTTTAGACGGTCGAAGGTGCGGTCTTGTAGCTGGAGCTTGTCTGGGATAATCCCACACCGGGTGCAGCGACGCGTCGACGTATTTACGTAATCGATTACGTCGACGAATCGCCCCAGACCTAGCGCCAACCACGTTATGCAAATTGAAGTATTTTCGCAATTGATTACCTTGATGAATCGCCCAAGCCCTAAAGAGCCCATAGACAAACCCAGTGTAAAGTTTAGCTTTTCCTTATTGCCTATAATAAGCACAAAGTTAAAAGTTACTACTGTCCATATGCAAGACAGATTCCATCAAGAAATATGGTTTTAAGGAAATACATGGAAAAACAGCTTGCACAGACACACTACCAGCTTGACTCCTATAATCCATAATTGTTCTGTTTATTGTACTGTTTTCTCAGCTTGACTTTATAACTCCAGTCACTGCAGTTCCACTTTTATCAAAAGTATTTCACGTCTTCCAGACTTGAACGTGAAGACATCCATTCTGATCTCCAGCTAGATGTGTTGTCTCCCCTTTGCCTTAAGCTTTGTTTTGATTCCTCACTGTCACCAGAAATAACATTCGTAAGAAGTGTAAACAGTTTTATGTTTATCGTTTCAGGTCAAGGCCGCAGTATGTCTCTCTGAGCTGTTTTTAAAGGAATTTAAAACAATAGGAGCCTAAAATGTCTGGGAGATAGTTCAACCTTTAGTGAATAGACAGTTTTCGCTTTTGACAGTGGCAAATACATTTATGTGTTTAGACGTTGGATGGACAACAACATGGGGGGGGGGGGGGGGGGGGGATTAAGTTTACACAATATGTGTCAAATCCGCTGCTTGGGTCGGACAGGTATTTTCAGACACACATGTTTGAGCTGTGGTTCTTCAGACTATTATTGTGCATATTGAGGATATCAGGCATGCCTTCACTTGTACACGGGGTTATTCACAACCTTGGTTTCTGTCTTTCCCATGAGTATGGTAGGAAAGTAGGCCATGGCCTTTTCACAAGTACTGCATGCCTTTTAAACTGGTTAGGACAACACCCAAAGAATTCAAAACTTGCCCTCAGGACACACTGATTTGAGGAAGACAAAATACTGTATATTTGACTGAATAGATTTGGGTTATTGTCTTTGTGCCTAGTAGTAGCCTTTAAAACAATAATTATATATAGTAAATAGATGAGTTTCTTAATACACAGCTGTTTAACAAGCAGTGAAACTTTGAACAGACACAGTAAAGTTGACTTTTTATGTGCACTCAGCACTCTGATTATCCACTGCTTGCAGTAACTAGTGGCACCTACATAACAAAAGATGTATTTGATTGGAGTTTAAGCACACCATTGTCTTGCTAGTACACACATTGTATGTGTACTGTATATTGCTATTGAAAACCATATTAGACAGTGACAGATACAAAGGCTTGAAATATGCCAATAATATCCCACAAAAACCTGCGGCGCTGATGCATAAACACAGGAAAGATGTCACCTCTGAGATCTGATTTTGCAAATCTACATTCAAAAGAGGACACATCTCAATGATCGAGGCTCAATCCATGTACAAATGGTGGTTACTGTTAAGCTCGGCACATCTAACTGATTTATTAGCCCCTACCTTCTGTGGTGCCACCTCTGTGTACGATGAAGGTGTGTTGGAATAAGCAAAAGAGAGAAGACATTCTTAGCATAATAACAGAACATTCTCCATCTATTTACTCCTTCGTGGTATGCTTGGAATCTGATATTGACTGTTTTTTCTGACTTTTTGTTTTTTTTAAATAAACTACAGTGACTTCATACCTTAAAACATTGCTATGCTAAATGGTCAACAGGGATGATTTTTATTTTTATTTATTTTTTGGTATTCAATCAAATAAAGTGCACCTCATACAGGAACAGTGCATCATTGTGTGTACCATCATGGTGGTAGCAGCAGAGTAGAACATGGACATAAAAAGCAACTGAAGTACCACTGTGCATGACCTAAATCAGAGCAGTATGTACAATATGTTCATATCTAATCTTGAAGATGAGTAATGCTTTTATTTTTATAATACTCAAATGATGATACATTCTTCTACCATTTTAGAGATTATTTATCCATCCAAGGATGAATACTGTATGATAGCATGTTTATTTATTTTTTTGCTTCTTTTGCACACAGTTAAAATGACACTTTCCCAGTAGAACATCTTCAGTCCTCTGCTGTTAGCTCCACTAAAGCAGTTGGGGACTAAATGATTTGCTCAAGGGCACCTATAGATAAATCTATAAAAATCTATATCCTCCTAGGCATCTTTCTCCCACTAACAATTCTCTGTCTGTGTGGCGGTATTATTATGACTGACAAAATGGTAACAAATCTTATTCTAAAGCTGTTGATGAGATCAACTGAAAATGACAAGTGGAAGACAGTTTGGAGCCTGCATTAAATAGAGCTACCGTACTTTGGTGAAAGGCCTTTAAAAAGGGAACAGTTTACTAGTCTTGCACTTTTGTTGTACTTGGTTGTCTGCACCTCAACACCTTTGACTTGTAGTAGTGGAAGCAGCAATATTTCTTATTCATGAAACAGTTTGAGACTTAAAATGTATCATGTAACTCAGTATTTTTTTGCCATAGGTATTGTTGCATGTAACTTGGAATGTTCTTTGAAACATAGTGATACAGCATTATTTCAACAAACTTAACAAACATGCTGCTCTAAGGTATACTAGGTGCAGACCGTGTTTAGATGCATTTCACCATGTTGCAAAATATAAAAAAAAAAAAAGGATGAGCTTGGAGACGATGGCAAGATTGATGGAAAAAGGTTGACCGAGGTTCAGCGTCGGGGTCGAGGCTACGGCTGCCACTCTTCCACTTAATGCTGTGTAATTAGATTGAGATCTTGAGCAAGGATGGGAGGAAAAAACCCTGGGAACATTAGATTAATTAAAAATTTATGCATAATTCATAATTAAAAAGGAATCCATAATTTGAAATGATTAGCGCCCTCAGCGCCATCCTGTGACCCCGCCAGGATGCACAGGGACTGGGCCGGCTTAGTTAACTCCCCCTCGATCTCGCATGCCCCGGCTCCACATGGGTGCCCCCTGGGTGCCAGTTGCACTTAACTCTCAGACTGCACAATCAAGCCCCGGCAACTCCCAGAGGAGCCAAGATGGCTCCTCGCAATGTCAGTCCAGTGTCAAGTGGCGGACATCTTAGTCAGGGCATCATTCAAGGAGAATGAGGAAGGATATAAAAAGACAGGACGAGAGGAGGTTGAACTTGAATGCGTGATGATGGGTTTTAATGAATACTGCTTCTTTGATCATGAAGTTCTCCCTTTGTTGGGGGGCGGAGTTAAATATAAAGGGTTATGAAACTGAGAAGAACTGGGCTCAGATCTTTCTGAGCCTTACCCATGCCACGGAGCACCCGGGGAGGGAGAGGTAAGGAAGTTCCTCCTGGGACCTCTAGACTCCATTTCTTTTGACCTCCCTGCCAACCCAGATTGAATGTGTACACGAGCAACTCATCCCTCCTGCTTTCACACTGCTGTCTCAATCCCACAAGGCCTGGGAGTTGGGGAGGGGTGGGGGGGGGGGAAGACAGCTAAAGTGACAGCAAGTGAGGGAGAAAGAGGGAGTTGCATCGAGTTCCCCAGGCATAAAAAGCCAGTGAACTCTTCCTGACCTCTGACATAATAAGCATATCATTTTTGGGGCTGCCCTGCTTTCCATTGAGTGTTATACTGATACCCTTTGATTTTTATCCTTGCACGCTGACACAACCGTTAGCTATCCAGTGTGATCCACATTTTGATTCAGAGATGAAAGCCACAGAGGCACTTTGAAATGCACAGCCCCTACTCTGTGCCCAGTGGACCCAGAGTTAATAATGACGGTGGGCACTGCACACCCTCCAAACACCCCCCACCCCCCTGCTGCGGTGACACAGGCACAACGAGGTTGACCCTGGCTGGGTGTGAATAATTGGCATGCAGGGGGTTGTGGGAGGTGTTGCATCTGTCATGATGCTTCTGTAGTTGTCTTATTTATCTTTTCCTGGGAGAGTATCAGGCATGCGATGCCGTGCTTCAACGAAGTGACAGCATTTTAACATTGTAGTTGAAAATAGTACTTTAGATAGATTTTTAAAGAACTTGGATTTTTCCCGCCTGTATTATCATGTCAATATCCTAGTTTCAGGCATTATTTTTCTGTTAGTGTATTTTAAATCACTATAGGTGCGCCTATTTTATGTTCATGGGTAGAAATACTTGGGCTTTGTTGCGCCATCTCTTAGTTGACACAGAATATTTTGAAATGTCTTGTCTTTAGTTTTGTTAACATCTAGATTTAATCTGCATGTCCCATGCTTTCCAGCTCTGCATGAGCAGACACAGACAGGCCTTTTGTGTGTGACCTCTGGTCCATACATCCCCACTGCAGCCATCAGTATCACTGTCCGGTGTCTAGCACACTGTCAGCTATTGTTGGGTTCTCAACCTGCCCCACGTAGCCCTGTGCTTTTTTTTTTTTTCTCCGAGAGAAAACAGCAGCCAATTGTCAGAGGGGGAGCAGGCCGGCGTGACAGAGGTGGAAAGCTAATGAAGTTATTTGACGGCAGCCCTGGCCACGGAGCGAGAGGTGAGGCGGAGTGGACAAGCGCCTGGCAGCGAGACGGATGAGGCGAGAGAGAGAAGCGTGGCGAGGGGGAGAGTAACAGGGAAAGGGAACGGCGATGGAAGTAGCATTGGTGGCAGGTGTCAGAGGGGTGTGATAACATGGAGACAAACTGATAGCATCATCAACCCGGAGCTAGAACCAGCTTAACGGTATCATGCACAGGGAGCTGACATTGGCCTGGGTACGTACTCACACAGGCAGGAAGCTCACGGAAGAAGTGCCCAGTCACCCAGAGATGCCCATCTCCTTCCTCAAATCTGTGTTCACTTCACAAGATGATGTGCCAGCGACTGGATGCTGTTGTGATTGTGAAATTTTGACAGACAAAAAGGGGAAAGTGTAAGCTTTTTCTTATAGGCTGATTTTGTTCCTGTTTGTAATGTGCTCTGGCTATTTTTTTGTCATTGAGCCATCAGCTTAGAGGAATAAAAAAAACTTGCCCATTGGATTAGGCTACTAAATAATTCATTGGGCTCTGTAACATAGATTCTTAGTGGAAATGCACTCTATTTATAGCGACAATCCAAAAGGTCACTGGAGTGGTGTGACTTGGTGTGAGTGCATGTCCTGGGGTTGTTTTTGTTCTCGTAAGGCCGTGGAGGAGAAGAATTTCAGAATCTACGTTTGTGTTGAGTCTGTATTTGTCGGAGGCGTGTGTGCAGCCCCGGCATTTTGTTATGGTTTGAGTGCAACATGATTATAACACGCGCATGTTCCATGTGACAACACAAACTCCTATAGATATAGATAAGTGTACGTCTGTGTGGGTAAAGGGGATAGTGTAATTGTAAGTGTGTTTGTAAGGCGGTGACCAAGTGTGCTGTCCCTGTCTGATCCGACATGGCCCAACACGCTTCTAATTAGAGGACGTCCTTCCAGGTGCTGACCAGGTTATACTTAGCCTGCCCGCTGACATCTGACAGTGTGACATTTCCAGCTGGTGGCGTGTGCGACCCTGCGCCACTGCCCCTGAACTTGAAGGTCACTGTCCGCCCTCCTCCCCCACCACTCAACCTCTTCCTTCTGCCCCTCTTGAACTGTAGCCCCGGCCGGCCATGGTGTGGCACTGTGGCATCACATGGGTGGTCAAAACACCAGCACCTGTCCCCTTTTCCTGCCCCGTATCCTGTCCCTGAGCCCTCTATCCCTCCAGCATAGATCATCATTAATCAGAGGGGCTAGAGCCGGCACAGATTGATGATGCGGGCAGGGGGCGGCAGGCCCGTGGCGGTTAGAGATGTTAGGTGAGACGGTAGGGTGAGGAGCAGAGCAGATCGCCGCTGGGGCCAGAGGAGACTGGACAGCAGTCTGCCCAAGAGTGATAGCCTCTCTTATATCCATGCCGCGTGTGTGTATGTGTGTGTGTGAGATATAGTGGTGTGCAGATTGTTTGAAAGCTGTTGATGGGTCAAGGGTTGGGAAGATGATAAGATCAACATCAAGATGATAAGATGTGTTTGTTGGTACCCTACTCAGCCACAGTCAAACATCATTGGAAAACATTTTGCTATTTGTAAAATCCATGACAATTCCTTTTACAATGGCGTCATATTACAAACTTATTTCTGATGTGGGGGGACATAACAAAGACAATTAGAAAAATATAGAAAGCAACCTCTGTTGCTCATTTGGTTATCATCAGCATATATGATGGCCTGCCGTTTAAACTTCGCTATAGCAACAACACAGTTGCAGATACCGTTGCATCCATACTGGCTAATTGATCTTTACTTGTGGTAAACAAAAACACTTCAACATTGCAGAAAACATGAGGGTTCCACACACACATCTTACAGGCTTTTTACTTGCTCTAATAAACTATGCTTTGTCACTTCCTTATATATACTTCCATATATATGTTGCGCCAAGGCTATGTTGTAAAAGGCTCTAAGAGCTTTATTTGCATTCATGTAACTGTTACACATATACAGATCTGTACTACCAACAGCCAGTCCACTTAATGAAGTACTTAGGATAGTAATTGGTTCTGGAAAATGGCATGGTTCACCCGTAGTAAATCAGGTTTCAATAGTGGACAATAGTATCCTTTAACCTTCCTCATGGTTCCCATAGTTGCACTGAAAAAAACGAAGATATCAAGTAACGTTGCTCAGACAACTACAATGTATTTAAAACACATTTCTACAACTTCCCTCAGTGTTTTATAGCCATTTTAAATGTCAACAATGTTGTAAGCCATAGCCTGTGTAAACCTTATTTAAGTACAGAGTGTAGCGGAACGTGCTGAGAGACACAAAGAGAGGCGCTTGCCCCGCTGTTCTTTTCTTGGCGGCTATCGGAAGTTGCTCCATGTCTAATTATTAATTATTCATCTTAGGCGGATTAGATGTGGCCCAGTTTCTCTTGAAGATGACTTTAGAGCAGAGGGATCCATGTGGCAGTTCATTCCCCAACCTAGGCTACACACTGCAGAGATGGCAGATAAGACTTCAGCTGATTGCTATCGTGCTCTGCAGAAGTACAGGAATTATTTCATGTCCTTAACGTCTGAAAAGGATTGAGACGATGTCCGGGGCCGAGGAGGGATGACGAAACCAGACTTAGAATAGAGCTGAGCATAAAGTGTATAGCCATTAATGGGATGTGGAGGGGGAGGGTTCAGTGTGAAGGAGAAAAGAGGAGGGAAATTAATTGGGAATTTATTGTGGATGCCCTAAAGACCAAGAGAGAAGGACAGTCATGAGGTTGCACCCTTTGTGTTGGCCCACAGCACGCCAACAGTGGTGTCTGTTGCAGTGACAGGACTGTGAAAATTCACTGTTGACCACTTTGTTGTTCCATTTTTCACTCATAAGAAAAATTCATGTTCAGGGAATGCTTTTTGCATATTACACAAAAGTTCAGGTGTCACTGTTTTGTTTTTTCCTTGACCCTTGTTTTGACATTACAGTACATTTAAGACTGATACTCATTACAAGCTGAAGGACGTGTGGTAGAGATCTTTTTGCCACTCACTATGGCCTCTTGTTATTGCTGGGTGAAACTTAACATACACCTTTCAAAATACCCAGCAGACCTCACGTTTGGTCACAACCAGTATTTTTGTCATGGTTTATCCTGCTCTCCTTAAATTCTTTTTCTAAAATCCTTCGACTTCTTTTCAATCTGGCTGCAGCGGCCAACCAGAGGGAGACACTCAAGTCTCCATTCCACCTGAAGGAAGAGCCCAAAGCGGAGGAAGCCTTGAGCCCTAGACCCTCCTCCCAGTCCCAGAGCCAGGTCCAGCCAAGTTTCCCTGCAACGTTCTGCCAGGACGGGCCAGCGGGAGCTGCAGCAGCCGCAGAGCGTCCGGGGCCATTGAAACCGAGGGAAGGAAGCCCCATGTCTAAGAACAGCTTGCTGAGCCAGGATATCAACGTTAAGGTGGCCTCTGAGCTGCTGATTAAGCTTTCAGGTATGGTGTGTACGTACTGTATGTATGGAGGCATGTTTGTGCTAAGGGGGAAATTCAAAACAGCTTTGTTCTCAAATTGACCTATGCAACAGTCCACACAACTCATCTCAGCAGACCAACTTTGGTCTTGAAATTGGATGCATATAAGTTTGTGTTAAACAATCCATACGAACACACTTGAATACATAAAAAAAAATCTATTTCTAGGACAGAACAGGCCATGCACTGTGTTATTGATATCTGTGGTGCTGGCTGGCTGTTTGAGTTTCAGATCAGCCAATAGCAGCTCAGGAGGAGGTTAGCTGTGGGCCAACGGTTATGACAGTCAAGGGTTCTGTTGTTTTCTACCATGGCACACCTAACCAAGCTGAAATTGGGGGCTTCTCAAAGGTGACCAAAGTGTACCTGTGGTGAAATAGTCTGTTTCTCTGAGCCCTCTGCCCCAGATGGTGGCTGCTAAGCCTTTGTATCCTCAGTGATGATATTCAGGTAACTTATCTTGACCCTTCATTTTCTTTCAACAGTACCCCTTCATGCATCTGTGGTTTATAATTCTTCTTGTGAACAAGAAGCACTGCATCTGATCTGCTTTGTTTTGTGCAGTCTTCTTTTCTGATGTCCCTCTTCAAAACAATGCCATCATATGTCAGAAGATCTGTCTACTCGCTCTATTGAACTTGTTCCATTTGACACGCACCATGTTTCAACCTGTATGGACCACTCTGACATCATCCAGTGCAGCATAATTTAGCCTTTGCAGCTTCTGGTTTGAGCTCAGCAGGAATTTTGGTAACAAATCCTAAGGCAGGTACTCGAACCTAGTTATTTATTTTGTAGCGTACTGTGGGTGCTACTGTACTGCTTTCAGTTACTATACACTTTGCGTCACTCCTAAATACAGTTTAAAGCCGCTGCTTAATTTAGCCTACATCCAAAATCACATCCGAATGCCAGGTCCAGTTCAAGTGTGTTATGGACAGGTGTTTGTCCACTGTGGGCTGCTGGAGTGTATCTCTCAGGCAGTCAAGAATGAAATTTGCTGAAGTATGTATCCAACAGAGCTGGCTTACTTAGATATATGATAAACAGAAAAATGTTTTCTTGATTTAACAATAAATTTCAATACATGTATACTGCATGCATTTTTCTGAGTTGGCTTTTTTTTCTTTTCTCTTTTTTTTTTTAATTTTAGGTAATGTAAAACCTAGCAGGCCTCATAAACTACCATTCATTTAGAAAAAAATACATACTGGTTTCAACATTTGGATGATTAGTATGCTAGAATTGTGCATCCATAAAATTTACAATGTGACACACTTGTGCAAATATGCATCCACAAACCACAAAGCAAATGGCAGTCTGATGGTGGCGCAGTGGGGCGTTGCTCCATTCACAGCTCTTTATCCTGTGTGTGTGTGTGTGTGTGTGTGTGTGTGTGTGCGTGCGCGCTTGATAGACACCTCACACACCGGTTGCCATTGTTCTCCCTGGGTTGACTGGTGTTCAGAGTGACTCATGCTGGCTGGGAGCTCTGTGGTACTACACGTGTGCTGCTCCACTGCCTGCCCCCAGGTCACGTTTCCCTGTGTGTGCTTTTGTGTGACTGTTTGAGGAAGACAAAGATGACATGATTACTACTTTAAAACAACTGAAAAAACAAATCTGAATCTGAGAAATGTAGAAATAAATCAGAGAGAGAACTTCAGAGAATGATGTGGGCAGTATATAATTCCTCTACTGTACTGCCCCCACCTATGTTCTTTGTTTCATCACTGTCACCTCTCATCTTTCTCCCATCCCCTTTTCCAATTCCTGCACTCATGTTATCCTGCCACTTTATTTGGTCCTCAAGTAGCATGGCCAATGTTTTCCCCTCCCATCACTTATACTAGCTCTGCAAGGTTGACCTAGGTTAGGGAAAGATGCTGCAGCGTTCATCCGTTCGCTGGCTCCCGCTGCCCCCTCACACAGTCCTCGGAGCGCAGTGCCGTCCATTGCCATGGCAACAGCGGGGGCGGTAGATGGAGAGGGCTGTCTAGAGTGACAGCCTTGACAAGAGTCTGGACCCTCAAATGACCCTGGGGGGAAGGGAAGGAGAAAAACGATGGCGAGGAGGAAAGGAGAGAACCGGGGAAAGGTCAATGCCGTTACAGTCACGTGTGATTACGGTCGTGAGGTTCAAGGGCATCTACACTGTAACCTCTCTCTGTCCCCAGTTAAAGGTCAGCCACGAAACACAATAACCCAGTGAGGATACTTAAATAGGGACATCACATTGGGGAGTTTAGGCTTTTTCAAACTTTTCTATTTGTTAAGAAGTGCTTATTTTCTTAGTTGCTTGTCGTACAGCAAATGGACACAGCCTAATTAGATTTCTGCTGCTCATCCTTCATCGACCATGGCATTGGACAGTCAGAGCAAGTGGGGTTGTCATCATTACTGCCCATTGTGCTGTAACATGAGTTGCATCATCCCTTTAACTAGGTCACTTCCTCTTCTTTTCTACCCCTCCCCCCCACCTTGCTCCCTTATCAAACATTGGTTGGTCGTGTTGAGTTGCCTTTCTAGCGCTACCTCCCCCACATCTGTTTAAAACCAAGCTGCTGGTGTCTGGGGGCTAATTACGCCGGGCTAAATAGTCCCTGGCGCCAGCGGCTAACGTGTCCTAGCAGATGGGCACTGGTGTTGCAGGGCAGGGGGAACATGGCGTCACAGGAAGGGAGGGGGAGGGGGGGTAGGGGGCCCTAGGTGGTGCCCTGGCAGATTGGCATCGTGTGGGTAACAGCCGTGCCACCCACTCACCATCCAGCCACCCTCACTATAGGTGTGAAATCACACTTACTGTACTTGCTTAACTCATTCCTTAGGAACAAGCCTTCCATCTCTGAGAACATTTTACAGGCGCTCTCCCCTCTACAGTAAATCTTTTACCTTTTGTACCCTGTAAAGCACATTTTGCCCTGGTGTATGAAATGTGCTATACAAATAAAATTGCCTTGCCTTACAGTGCTTGTTACCTTACTAATAAAAGTTGCATTAAGCTATTTCGACCAGTGAGGTGCAGAAAGACATCGAACCAAACTGACAGCAACAGTTTCAGCTTATGAGGTTCTTTTTGTTTTTATAGAAAACAACTTGTGCATCCAGCAGGTTCAAAGAAACCTGGAGATTCAGTCTGAGCCCTTTTATGATTACCATTCAAATGTAGGTTTTATATTAACTGGTGTTTATCCCTGCTTTGGTCTACCAGCTCTAGTGATAGTTGATACCTGTGGATTTATAAGAAACAGTATTGTTTTGATTTTTTTCTGTGCTTCAGAGCAATAAGCTGAATGCAGCAAGAAGCCTGAAAGTGGGTGCTGATTTCCAGAAGCATTGGCAGTTCTTGTAGCAGCGGCCAAAGCTGATTGATTGAGTGATAATTAACGCTGTTTATCATCAAAGGATGCCAACTCCACCTGGCTTCTCCTTAAAAGACTTTACATGATTGCCTCTACTGTCATAGCTACAACTGACTGACACACCACATGTTGTCTTCCTACTTTGTGGAAACTGTCACTGTCAACCGGATAGTCTGACAGTAACATGAATCTCCAGAGTGTTGTGGTGCTTTTATTCTCCTAAAAAGACTCCTAACTTAATACTTTTAAATTTCACTCAAACATTCATTGTTTTAATTCTGCTGTACTTCATTTACTATTAAAATGCATTAATTAAAATACAACGGATAAAGTGGCAGAATACCATCATTGCTGTAACAGACCATTCTGAGTTCAGGTGCACAGAGGTTTGTGTGTGTTTTTTTTCTTTTTGTTTGTTTGTTTTTTTGCAGCACCGTGGTTGGTTGTGCACAATTTCCTCAAGGTAACCACAGTGGAGTAGGCTCTGCTCTTTGCCATGGCACTTGATACAGATAAAACATACTGTACATCTGCTGCTGCCATCAGGTAGCTGATTTAGTCAACTGAAGTGGAAGGCTTTCCTAAAGCAGTTTAGGATGACCCATGCAGACGGGCTTATTAAATGCATTCAACTTTTTTCTTTACGTGTCTACTGGTTGTACAATGTGTTTATTTGCATTATTATGTAATTGCTGCATATGTGCACCCCACGCTTGTCCATTGTAGTTGATAATAGAATGACCAAATTTTCAACTCAGAGATAGTCCACTGAAAAGAAACGTGGTCCTTTTTACAACTTTTCTATATATATATATATATATATATATATATATATATATATATATAAAATATTAAAACAGGCAATTTTCACCAAAACAACGTCTTGCCCTTACACTACCTTGTTTGCATGGAGCTTACATGTCATTGTAATACTCCTACCGCCTTTGCACCATGGACCATAAAGCACAAAGGTTAGGAAAACATATCATCGTGCTGGTTGCACTGGTCAGCAACTGTGTCAGAGAAAATGATTTAATCTTAAAGTAAAATGACAGAAATAGTTTAAATAACATGGAAAGCCTCAATTTCTTCGGCTTCAATGAGAAAATGAGGAATGAACCGCAAAGGGAGCACTATTTATTATATATAAATATATTTATATTATTATTAATATATTTATATAATAAATATATAGCCTTTACCCTTCTATCACTATCTTTATCCTCACAAAATGAGTCACTATTTTCTCAATATAGCTTATGACAGCAGACTGGGTAAGCAGTTCACTTTTCTAATTCACAACACTGGTATTACTGTACACTCACTTACTTTGTTAAGCTCTACACTGCTCTGACAGTGTCCTCATCATGCCCCCTCAGTGTGGCCGCTCGCTGACCTCTCTTACTCCCACCCTCCCTACCTCCACATCTTTCTGTCTCACTGGCTTCCTGTCACTGCCTATAGTTATATTTACAGAAATGATTCCTTTTGCTCCTTGCTATATGCGTTTCCTGGGTAGGTAGTTTTATATGCGGAAGTGATTTCCAGAATGACTGAGGCGATCAGTTGTAATCTCTTGTTTTGACCTCATATGATAAAGCTTTACTAGCCATCGATTGGCTCTGGCTTGTGCCAGATGTTTTTGTTTAGGACCACTTTATAAGGGCCATGACTGGTTCCTGATGGGCTGTTTATCAAGCATGCTGCTCCAGAGTCAGACGAAGCTGCAGTTTGCGACCATTGGAAGGCTGAACTACTGAGAGCTAGCTGGTCGAGGATCAATTGTAGCAGCAGCTGTCTGTGAAGTCTGCAGGCAAGGCTGCTGTGGCTCCCACATGACATGCAGTCTCCACACTGCAGCCTTTGAAGCGCCTGAACTCTTCACCCCTGTCTGAGCAGGTCGGCTAGAGAGCAGGAGAATAGAGAGATTGAGAGGGAGAGAGGGATGGGGGGCAGGGTTAGAGAGATGTGGAATAACAGAGCAGGGAGAAGGGTAGACTAGGATAACGGGAGGGAGGAGAGGTGGAGAGGTTGTCATTTAGGTTCTAGCCATTCCTCATCCTTCTGTCTTTCCTCAGCTCTTCTCTCTCATCCTGCTTTCTTTTTTACTCTCTTACCCTCGGGTGTTCTTTTCCTGGCACTGCTTGACAATCCCCCCCCCCTTTACCCTTCCTCCTTGCCTCTCCCTCTGTCTCTCTCACTGTCTGTCTGTCCAGGTTTTTGTTCCAAAGCTGTCGATGCATCACAGTGGTGCAATAAATTTTGACTTTGCATGCATTAAGTCACTAATAGTATGTGACTTTTTTTGTGTTAAGTGCAGTTACAAATCTAATAGTCTGTACCTTCCTAGTGTATATATTCTCAACGAAACAGGCTGTCACGTCCACGCAGATTCAAATAGACACCTGAGGTCAAAGTTGATCACTAAAAACAGAACATCGCACAAACCCCAGTCACTTTCACTGTGACTCAAAACTTGAGTAGCGCTGCGTCAAGGGGAACAAGGGTATGTATAGTGCATTTATAGAAACTTAGCCACATTCAAACACATTGTAAAACTGTGCAACATGGGTGTCGTTACAAACCAAATGGAGATGAAAGAAACTTTGCAGCCTTTTACTTGGTTAAAGCAACATTATGTAAGGTTTGGTGGACACGTGATTTACCGTTACAAAGTATAATTCACCTCCGTTTACATTACATTACTTTTATCTGCTACATCTACACGAAGCAAGTGCCACAACACAAGACATAGCAATATTGCCTACTAGTCCAAGAGAAAGAATGCCAACTCAGCGTCTGTATTTCAGCCTTTTATTTCAGGAAGCTCTCGCCAACGTCCGTCTTGCTTGGTCACACTTTTTTGCACTTTTTAGCTTCCTCTGTCAACGTCCTCTTCGCTTTTATTTATATTTGTTAAGTTAAACTGGCACACAAATTTGAGCATCAGAATCTAATATTTATTGAGAAAGGACACAGGCACTTTTGTAGACACACACACGCACACTCTTCTAGACCTGATTCTGTTCTCTAATGGCAGCTGGTGTATCACAGAGGAGGCTTCTGCACCAGAGGGGATGACATACACTCATAGACACACAGGGCACACAAACACACATGCGCACACTCGCTCACTTACAGACGCACACAAGCTGGATCCAGGCAGACTGAGGGGTTCTTTTTATGGCTTCAGAACATAAGGTCAAGACCCTGGCCAAAAAGCCACAGCTATTATCATCGTGGGAGTAGGGCCATATTTTTATTTTGTTATTTTGCGACAGGTAGACTTCTGATCTGGCCTACCAAGATGTGATGCTTTCAGCGTGGCGTCGGCATGTTTGTGATCACACATTTTTCTCTCTCCGTGTCATGTGATTTCTCTGTAATGGCTCTTTGGGTTTGTAAGCATCTTTGTCCAGGCGCTGGGAGCTCAAGCACATATAGCGTCCTTCGTATGTGGATGTGTTTTTGTGTACAACTGTGTGCGTGTTTTTGCAGCACGACAGTCCACTCAGCTTCTGTCTTTAGGGTGGCGATCCAATGATGGAGGCTCGCGTGTCCCTTGGTTGACCCTTACAGAGCAGTGCCCCCTACCCCCCCCGCCCTCCCGTCTCTCCCCTCTCTCCCCTCTCTCCCCTCTCTCCCCTCCTCTGCTTTGCCCCTCTATCAGCCTCTCTCCTAGGTTACTCTTGGCCAACTCTGGCCACCTGATTAAGGGATTAGTGAGGCTGATGGTTGTCAGTGTCCCCCACATGCTGGCTAGTACCACTAAACCAGACACCTGGACCTTGAGGAGGAGGCAAGGGGGAGTTCACACTTTAATTCATCCACATAAACACAGTAGTATATATATACACACAGATTCAGTACATACTCTTGCACGTGCGCAAATTGTACTGTAGATCCAGTCTTGGTGTCTCGCACTGGCTTCCTTCAGCAGAAGAGTGGAGAATGTGAGGGGAGGGGTGACGGGGTTAGCACAGGGTTACTGTTTTGTCTGTCCCTCCCTCCCCACTCTTTCTCCAGCTCTTCTAACCTCCCCCAGCCCCTCCCACTGCTCCCGATGCCCTGCCAAATTCATATATCCCATAATCGTGCTGAGTCGCCGTGTCAGCAGCACTGTATCAACCCCAGGGCTTTGTCTTGCTCCTGCTTGTCACCACACTGAGACGCCGCCTCCTGCCATCACCACAGTCAAAAGATGGGATACCTTGGATATACAGATGCTAAGGGATGTACCAGTGCAATTTCTTTCTACATTTTATTCATTCACGATACAGCTGCACATTGCATACTTACTGTAGCCTAAAGCAGGCCTATATTTAATCTAGTAAATTTAGCGATAGAGGCCATTAGGGAACCAATTCCTGACAACAGAATAGCTGTGCATTAAGAAAATATAGCCTGAAAGTTTTAATAGTTTTCAATATTTTTTTTATGGCAGCCTGTAGTTTTTTGATTAATATCCGTAGAGAGGGGAGAGTCAGTGTTTGATTCTGCAAATCGGCTCGGGACATTCCTAACAGATTCGTGACTATTTTTAGCCTGCCTTCTTCGCCTCACCTTTTGAACTTGTGTATGAGAAGTGAGTCAACAGCTGTTTTCACCCGTTTGGGCTGTTGTATCGCCTACCTTCAATCACGGGCCTCGTATATCCAATACCTGTAGTTATTATAAACATAGATTCATTGTTTCTTAGTTAACACTTAAAGTGTTTTAGTGTCTTTCCTGTTTTCTACGGTGAACCTAAATGAGCTGCTGGAACCCTCCCCTTAAGAGAGAGTATGACCTCCCGGTGCCCTCCTGCCCTAATAATTACACGATGCAAGATGCTAACCAGCTCAGCTCAGCTTTAACGGCAATGCTCATGTTTCCTCATGCTCACTGGATTTCCCTACTTGAGCTTCAATTCCCTTCATACAACATCTTTAAACATGTATGCCGGATGCTTGATTTACGTAGCATTCGGGTGAAACGTGTTTTATTTAGTTTTTGTATTGTTTTGTTTTGCTGTGTGAATAAGACAATAAACACATCTGATGTGTAATCTGAAAACAAATCAAATTAAGCCTTTATTAGATATGCAGGTACAGTGTAATCATTTGTGTTCAAACTCTTCTGCAGTCATTGAAAGTAATGTGAAAGAGTATGGATCCTTACACATTTCACGGCAGTCCATTATGTCTCTGTAAACTGATTTAAGTTACAAATAAATTACAAAAGACTTTGAATGCATATACATGTTATATACTGTGTATATATATACATACATACATATACACAAGTTTCTATTTTTCTGGTTAGTGAGAGTATATCCATAAAATGGTCACAGTAACCTACTTCTCTTCTCTCATTAAAACAAAATCTTAACCCGTGTTACATAAGAGGTGAGAGGTGAATCCCTTCAGTCAGAGTCTAACCAGTTATTGTCCTCTTGTTCAATCTTCTGCTGCAGAGAACAACAAAGATGCCCAGTACCAGAAGGTGAAAGTAAAGGCAGAGCCCATGGAGGTGGACCCGCCCCCTGCAGAACTCACCCCACCTGCCTCTCACCTGCTGGCCTTCAGCACTTTAGGGGCGAGTGAGAAGAGCGAGCCACTGAGTAACCTACCCGAGACGTTGGCCCGCCCCCAGAAAGACCTCTTCTCCCAGGACATATCGGTCAAAATGGCCTCCGAACTACTGTTCAAATTGTCAGGTATGTTCCTTCAAGACATGTGCGTGCGTGCGTGCGTGCGTGCGTGCGCACGCGCGCACACACACATACTCTCTCTCTTCTTCTTTTTCCCTGTAGCACTGTAGCGTAAACCTTGGACTGTTTTTGATACACCACCATAAAACCTACATGTTTCCATTTCCATCCTCTGGTGGCACTGTAGTAAAGTTATATGACATGTACTGACATCCTGCTTTTTACCTTTATGGCCATGAATATGACATTGAAGCAACATACAGCTGTTTGTATTGGTAGATTAAGACAAAGCTTTGAGGTGAAACCATCACCCCCAGAGAAAAGGTGCCCATGTGAGTGTGTGTGTGCGCGCGTGGGTGGGGGTGCTTGTAGTCCTAGGCTGTGACCCCAGCTGTACCCAGCCTCTGATCGCTCGCGCTTAAATGCCATATAGAGAAACAATCTCATGTAAAATCCTTTTCCTTGTTCTCTCTTCTTGCGCTCACCCATATTCACAAATTCACACATTGACAGTCTTTCTTTCCCACAGTGTCTTGCATGCACACCTTTTACACAATCACACAAGGCCCCATGGGGAGTGGTGTCTGCACAAATGCACCCCCCCCTCCCCCTCTCTTCCTTTCTCTCATTCTCCCTCTCTCCCTCCCTTGACTCGTTTTCAGACATGCCGGCTCAAGCACACTTGGCTGCACACGCTCTCCCCCTGCACTTCCCCTCCCTCCCTCTCTTTACATTTCTCCCGTGCGGCATCTCCATGGCAACGTGGAAAGAGACCTCTGTCCTTGGCGAGCAGTGTGACGGAGTGGGGAGTTTAGGTGTGGGGTGGGAGGGGGCAGAGGATAAAGAGGGTAGAGAGGGCACCAGGGGTACACAGTATGCCCACCCAGGGAGGCCAGGGCATCACTAGCCTGGCAACAGCGACAACTGGCCCCTTATAACTGGGTTTGAATGTGAGGGGGACTGTAACAGAGTGGGCTGCTGTCACACAATGAGCAATCAATATGAATTACCCAGAGCAGTAGGACCTCAGAGGCACATCAGTAGCAAGGTCGCTCTGAACACTGAGATGGTTGCAGCTTTGAAATTCACTTCAGTACATCGCCTTGAAACTCACACACATGGCTCCATTCTCAGGCATTTTGTATAGTGCTCTTTACCACTGAATACTGAAAACCCATCATGTCACATCAGACAGCCAAGTAGTGGTATTAGCTGATTTTACAAGTCTCGCTTTACTTACCACTTAAATACAAATTATTTTAAGGTTTCTAAGACTCAAGCACTCTGTGAGCAACTAGACATGGCTACTATGTTATACTGGACAAGTATTCAGTTCATCATGGGCTTCAGTGTTGGACCCAAGCGGGAAGCTTCCGGTCTGAGACGTGAATCCAATGCGGAAGTCATTCTATTGAACGGCCAGCACGGGGCGACTCTTCTGGTTGCAAAAAGAAGTCCAGTTCCAATAGAAATAATGGTAAAATGACCCTGCTTCTCACCTGAATAATTACCTCAGTAAACACTTTCCTAATGGGTTTATGGTCTCAATCGCTAGTTTCATGTCTTCTTCAAAACAGCATGATGTTCATTTAGTAAATTATGGTCCCATTTAGAGGAAAATAGACCATAAAGCAGAGTATGCTTCAGGGCCGGTTTGTTTATGATTGAGAAATCGTTACCATGGCGACCTGTCAATCAGGCTAGAGTGACTCGTACCTACGGCACTGTGTAAAGTTAACCAGCGCCGTTGAAAAGCTTATTAGGAGTTGGCTGTTCACTCTCTCTGGTGAGTACATTTAGTTTAAAGACTGTTGTTCGCTAGACAAAGTTGTCAGCCCTGTTAAGATGACAGTTAACGTGAATTACAGATGCACCTAGCTAAGCAAGCTAGCTAGCTCCACAGACGGCCGCTGGGGCCACCTTCTTGTCCAAATATGATCACGTCCGGTGACGCTGGTTACTTGAAAACGTCAGTCCACAAACCAATGGGTGACGTCACGATGACTTCGTCCACTTCTTATATATAGTCTATGGTTGGACCTAATGTGACTCTGAAACAGCACTCAGGATCTCTGGTATACAGAGGTGCCCTCCGTTTTCTACTTGTATCAGTACAGGTGCATGCAACAGAAATGTGTGTATGTAAACAGATTATGGAGAACTTGCTTAATATGTTACAGGACAGGTGTCCTGCCAGCAGGACAGGTGTGAACGTTTGCCAAGAGTCTAAAGTTGCAGGAACCTCAAAGCCATCAAGGCTTTTTGGAAAGCATGAGCAAGGGTTGTAGGATTTCCCACAGAATTTTATAGAGAAGGCATCCCGCCTTGCCTGTAATATAGAGGGCTTCCACTAATGTCAGGAGAAATTATTACATTTTTGTGAAATATATTAGGCTTGTTAATCGTCAGGAGTGGTCTGATCCAGCTCAGCAGGTGAGTGATTGATCAATCACATTGTACGATCACTTTGCATTAATTAATCTGAGCAGCACATTGCCATGTTGGCTTTTAGAAGTTGGGAAAAGAAGAGACAAACAATCCAGTCAATTACCATCAGGTGCTGATGTGTGCGGAAAACTCTGCATTGCAGGTTAGACACCAGTTTGAAATGAGTTTGATAATCACCAGTCGGACACACATTTTTTATTTATTCCTATCATGATATATTATAATATTTTTGCCCTGATAAAACTTTTAACAGACTTTTCCTGTGTGCCCAACGGCTTTAAATAGTATTGTACACAGGGTACTGGTCTATTAAGTTGATCTGTACAATGTAATCAAATAAAAATAATAAAACCTAACCTATTCAAGCTTATAATCTTCACTTTTTCTTGACATTATGCTAGTGGGCGATGATTCAGCTCTTGTGCAGTTTTTGAGGCCACAGTCAGTGGCATTGTGTTGGACTATAGAATGTTGAAAGGTGTTAGTAATATTTTGTTTTCTCCATTTACATACAAGGGCGCAACCGTACACAAACACACACGTGCCATCTGGGTAGACGACCAGATCTGACAAGCCATGCACATTATTAAAAAAAATTAAAAATCTTTTCATATTGGTGTTGTTGGGCTAACTTTCGGCCCACAGGTCTGCAGACGCAATAGAGACTCCCACTTGTCCAGATGGCCAGTACACCCCTGCTGGCATGGCGAACCTGTGCTTTACTAGCTGAGTTAAATGTTTAGGAATCAGGATCATATAGCGTTTGTTTCTCTGTTCCATAAGAACAGAGCAATTTATCGAGGCAGCTCGTTACATCTAAATATCTGTTCCCTTCAGTGGACTCAGGACTTAAAATATTATTTATAATTAATTTTAATAAAATAAATTGAGTGTGAAAATTCATTCATGACCTTGGAAACACTATTTTCTTAACTCAACGTCCACTTAGTAGCCTTTTATGGAGCCACCAACCATTTTCTTCATTGACCAAGTTTGTCATAGAGATGGCTCAGTTGTCATCATGTGACCTAAATATAGAACTAGATAACATGTGGTCATATATATCATATATGTGTCTGTTTAAAAGTCTTTGGGGTCGGACTTAGACGGTATACTGAATAAATAGAAAATGAAATAGAAATATATAAAAATTATATGGTATTGACTGGAATTATACATGATTTTGTTTTTGTTTTTTTAGAAAAAGTCAGCAAATCCAACAACCACAAAGACAGTAACATGGTGGGAATAAACAGGTGAGTGTTTTGCCTCCGAAAGGTTGTTCTCAGTTTTACATAACATGAATTATTTATTCAAAGATTCATGATGGGAGATGCACTGCATTTTTACATAGAGTTTGAATATGTGTTTAATTTAGTAGCTATGTAACTGTTAGTGTTATGTATCATATTTCAGTCCATTTCTGGACGAGTGCTTCAGACAATCACCCTTTAACTCGCGCTCCAAGAGCTCTTCCCCAGCAGAGGCCAGCTCTTCTACCAGGGCAGCATTTCATGGTAAGACACATGTAAAACACACTCGCAGGAGCATGACTAGAGTAGTAGTATAGGAACGTGGACATATCACTAGGACTTTGTATCAGGCAGCGGATGGATGGGCTTTGCTCATATTATGTCTTTTACAGCTGCTGTGTTTAGCGGATTTGATCAATTGGTCAGTCGACAGAAAGTTAATCGGCAACTATTGTGATAATCCATTAAGCATGTTTTTCAAGGCAACATGACCAACGTTTTCTGGTTCCAGCCTATCAAATGTAAATATTTGCTATTGATATGATGGTAAATTGAATATCTTTAGGTTCTAGACTGTCTGTCAGACAAAACAAGCTAATTGAAGACATCGTCCTGGGCTCTAAGAAGTTGTGAATGGCACTTTCTGTTGTACATTTCATTGACTAAATGACTCAATCACTAATAAAAACAATCATTAGTTGCAGCCCCAGTGTCTTTATGTTTGTCCATGTTCATTGTTTTACCGTTTTGCCCAAATATTATCTCTAATGGATGGAAAGAAAAGTTATCTGCAGCTGGTAAAAGCAGGTCAATACTGCTGCTTCATTGATAGTACAGTATCTAAAGACAGGTCCAAGGGTTCATGTTACTCTCACTGTAGCTTTGGAGAATTAATAGATTATACAGAGATGCTCATTATACACACACATGTAAATATACACATGCAGTGTGCTGGCATTTATAGACCCTCCGTGCACACAGACAACACACTCACTCTCACCCACTCGCACACAAGCTCTGTAGCATGGTGAGCTACTTAACATCCAACTACACGTGAAGACCCCTTTAAATCTGAGTATACGGCCACAAGGACACATCACAATTAACCACCTCCAATTTCACATGATCTCACCCTCCTCTCCTGGCAAACCCCCTCTCCCTGTTTCATATTTAGAGCTCCGTCCGGCCTCTCTGCACTCTCACGCATTTCCCCAACCTGAAGGCTTCTGCCCAGGGCATCCCCTGTCTCCCTCTCCTCCCCTCTTCCCTGGCATCCAAGAACTTCCCTCCATGTTCCTTTGGCAGTGAGAGATCCAGAGGTTAATTAGCTTGTGCCAGCTTTGCCTGTCCCTCTGCCAGTTAATGAAAATCTGATTGGCTTCTGGGTGTCAAGAGTGTCCTGAAAGTTAATTCGCCCAGCCCACCTCCCCTTTCCCCTGTGTGTTTTAAGCTTCAGATCCAGCCTCTTCTGCTCACTCTTTTACAGTTGTACTGCTTTCCTCTTTTCTTTCCTCTTTTCTGTCTTCATTTTGTTTTTATCCCTGTTTAGTTCCCCCCTGCTCCAGGTATTGGTAAGCATTTCTAATTATAACTGGAGGAAAGCAGATCTTTAACCACACAGATTTTCTGTCCTAGTTGAACTTTCCCATCCTTTCCTGTTAGTTCACCTTTCCTACCCCAGCCATCACACTTTTTGGGCCTGGCATTATAGAGGCTCATAGGTTTTACTAAGTTTATTGTGGTATTACTGGTACATATAATTTACTGGTTGTTAAAAGATTTGTGAGTGATGAGTTAGAATTGGTGGCTGTGAAACTTTTTGCGTATTAAATGGAAAATGTTAACATCATTACTGCAGATATTTTAATAATGTATTTGACAGTGTTGACTATGGCTGCTAATGATGTGTGAGCCCAACAACTATTTATGTATTGTGAGCTTTTCCCTTTAGGAAGAAAGAAAGAATACATGAGTAGGAGTTTGTGTGACCTCTGGAGTTTGCTGTTTTGTCCCCTCAGTCTGGAGTTTAGCACAAGCCTCCATTTCTTCTCCCTGTCCCCCTCTCCCCAGCTCTAATAGCACTAATTAAACCATTAACCACTTCAAGGTCCTAATTGGCTTAATCATCAGTGTGTTTGCCGGGTCGTGGCCTCGAGCCCCTGCCCTGACCAGGCCTATCCCTTAGTCTCACTTGTGAGTCAGGACAAGTTAATGCTTTTATGTGCTAAGCTTTAGCTACAAGCTCAGTAAGAAGGTCTAGGATTCTAAGAATGAGCCGTACACAGACAGTGAGTTCAGGGAAAAGAAGTGTGAATCGGTTGAACAGTCGTAGTCAGATGTCAGGGCAACTGTCATGGTAAGAGGCAGATTCCACAGGGGGTCACCAAAATCGCAGTAACTCAAGTTTCTTGACATGTCTAGTGTTGGGACACCTTCGCCACCTGTTTGGCTTTACTCCGTGTGAGGAACCACAAACATACACACTGTGTTTGCTGATTATTCCCTTACTTTCCTACCAAATGTTGCTTTACACTGGTCCATTTCCATGCATTTACCATCACACATTCACCCTTCACTCACCTGTATTACAGTGGCGAATCACTGAGCCACAGTAAAAAGGAGATAAAGATATTCCGTTCACAATTAGAAGACTATTTCCTAACGTTACTCCAACAAAACAAACTCCCCTCTCCAACTCTGACTCATGTTTCCACCAGCGTCCCACGAGATTTCAGAGTAAGAATTGTCCTTGAGCCAGACTTCTGTTTTATGTTAAAAACAAAAGGTGTCACCGCATGTTACTCGTAGGGATCCTTTCCATGAAATTGTCAGGCAACTTGTATAACAGTCTGAGCCTGTCATTGGCAAAAAGAAGCCCTTTTTGTGGGAGTAATTTTGACGGGCACAATTGCCCCGAAGGAATACGTGGCAGCCACTGCAGCCGGGTTCAAAAAATATGTGAAAATAGGACCCAGGTTTAAAAATACAGAAATTACCCTTGAAGATTTCATAGTCTACAGTCCACTGCTTGTATCTTGGAAACTACATTTCCTAGAAAGAAAAGAAGTAAGCATTACTTACACAAATGCAGTCTGAACTTGATGTATCTCCCCAAAGTTGAGTTCATAAATATATTCTTTCGGTGCTCGAAGTTATAAAAGTTGCGTTATTCCCTTCAGAACAATTTAGTATTTCTTGGAATTCTATTATAGATCTGACTGACAATCTTTTTGTGGTACATTAATTACCTAAATTACAAAAGATGCCTGTAGGTAGTGCACATGCACCCTTATGTCCCTATATACCTTTCAACTCTCTGTGTATGTAACAGATACTTGGCATATGTAAGTACACTAACCAAGAATAAGAATTTAAATATGTTGTGTGCCTGAATCAAAACCAAATGTGCTGTATTTTGCTTCCACAGTTCCAAAATGTTGCGTGAGGTATGGTGCGACACAAATAAAAGCAAATAAACGTTAATTCACAAGTTAGTATGTAGAGGGCAAAATAGGGGGTTAAATATGTGACACGGATACGGAAAAAATGCTCCAGGGTTTGTGAGTCATTGCAACAACAGTAAAATATCGTTTCACACCACCTGGAGCTACCACAATTTGCTGTTGAATATAAACTGTGCATTATGTGACTTAAAGTTTCCTTTTTCTTAGATGCACTGATTTTCTGATTGATCTGCAAAGAATCAAAACTTTATAGCGAGAAGGAGAAACAGAGGTGCACAGTTTCTCCATCCTTTATGAACGCTGAAAATAAAACTCAGAGTAACTTAAAGAACCCTTTTCCGTTTTCCAAAGCCTTGCCAATACAAAGGTTTTTCACCAAGGCCAATCTGTATAGCATGCTCTCTGAACAATATAGACAATTAGTAAAAAAGAAATCCTGCCATCATCTGCGAAAGTACTACATGTTTTCACCCTTGTGAATTACTCTATTCACAAGAATGAGGTTTAATTCAAAGCAGAAACTTCAATTCTTCAGATTCCATCAAAGAACCTGAAAATAGTCACTCTCGTTCTTTTTATTTCTTTGAATGAGGGGTGCTGGGTGGGAGGGAGCGGGGGTGACATACAGTAAGGAGAGCTACAGTGATATGTGTATGCTGCAGGCTTTAGAGCAAAGGACTAGTGCTTGCTGTTGACATTAAGAATGCATTTGCACTGCATCCCACCCGCAGGCTAGACAAGGAGCATCTGTCAAATGGTAGCAGACAGGTTTCAGTCTTGTGGGTTAGCAAATTAGCCCACAGTGAATACTGAAGAGAATGAGACTAAATAGAAATGTCAGGAAAAATGAGGAATAGATTTGTGGCACGTTTTCACAGATCAGCCTACTGCTGTTACCTTCTAGTCTTTGGCTATGTGATACGTTGCCATGATTTAAAGCAGCCAAATGAGTGAATGTAATGTTATACTTTGGTGTGTGACACTGAATCTTAAAGGAAGAACCATTCATTAACCATAGATAAAATTTCCCTCCACTTCTTGTTATGTGAATGTATTGTGTCTTTCACTCTCGGATTGCATCTATATTTTGTGTCATCTCTTAAATTCTTGTCTGTGTCATTTGTCCCTGCCGGTCCGTGCAGTAAGGTGGAGGCCAGAAGCAGCGAATTTAATATATGCAGGGTTAGCATGGGAAAAACTACACAATCTCCGTAGGAGGGATTGGGCACCTTCACAGAAAGAGAATACTGTATGACATTATTATAGCTGGGTAGAACCATAGACTGTAAATAAAAAGGGTAGAACATCATCTTATTTCATGTATGTATTACATACCCAGCTAGCCTGGCTCTTGTTGGGGGTCATGTGCCAGACGCAGTCACTTCCTGGTGCCTCGGCTAGCCTGCTGATTCCCCTCGTTTATAGCCTTTGTGCTAAGCTAAGCTAACTGCCTGCTGGCTGCAGCTTCATATATAGTGGACAGACGCGCGAGTGGTATCCAGTGGCTGACGAGGTATTCAAAACCAAGTACTAATACCACACTGTAGAAATAATGCAAGTAAAAGTCCTGCATTGAAAATGTTGCTTAAGTACAAGTATGTAAGTATTATCAGGGACATGTACTTAGTAAAATTAAAAGTACTTAATGCAGAAAAATGTCCCATGTGACTGTTAACATTAGATAATTATAAGTTTAATAATGCATTTATGTAAAAGCAAGATTTTTCTGTTGTAGGTGGTTGAGGTGCAGCTCAAGTTAAACTCTTGAATCGGACTGCACTATGATTATTTTCATTATGGATTAATCTGCTGATTTTTATTTTTATTTTTTTCCCGGTTAATAGATTGGTTGTTTGGTTTGTAAAAATTCTGAAAATAAGGAATAAATGCAGTCACAATTTCCCGGAGCTCTTCGTGACACCTCTGCATTGCTTGTTTTGTCCAACCAACAGTCCAAACCGCAACATTATTAAAAATCTGTTGAAGTTATAAGAATAATTTAAAAGGAAAAGCAGCAAATCTTGAAATCATGAAATATTTTTTACAGAAAGAAAAATGACTTTTAAATGTATCATCAATGTATGATGTTTTATGATCAAAATAGTTGGCAATAAATTTCTGTTCTAATCGTTTCAGCTGTTAGTCAGTTAGGCAGTTTAATTTATAACAAAGCGTCATCTTTGATATACTCTTCATATGTTTTGTATGTATAAATCTTAATTTGTAAAGTAACAAGTAATAAAAGTTGTCAGATAAATGTAGGGGACAATATTTCCCTCTTGTAGTGGAGTAAGTAGAAAGTGGCATGAAAAGAAAATACCTCAAATTTGTACTTAAGTACAGAACTTAATTAAATATCAATCTTTTCATCTAATTCTTGGTAGGAAAGCAAAGTATTTCTTAAAAAAATATGAATGGAAGAAACAAGACCATGTCCTGTGTGGTATACTTCCTGCTGCTTGACTGGTGTTAAATCTGGTATAATTGGAGCGTCGTAGTGGTTCAGACATACTACTATTGGAAAAAAACGAAAAATGCCTTCAGTACTTCAGAGAAAAGATGGATAAAATTAAGATGACCTAATAATTTTAAGAACACCACCCTCGTTACATAAGCACATACCACAGCAGTGTGTTATGGTTTGGTAGTTACGGTTTTCAACATCAATACATACTGAACCTAAGTTACTTTGTTTGATTTATAGCAGCGTGACTTCAAAGTCTTTGGTCTACCTGCAGATGCTTCTGTGGCTGATTGTGTCAGCGGTGAATGATGAGTATGGTTTTCTGCATTTGTGTGTGTGTGTGTGTGTTCCAGACTCAGAAAAGGATGAGCCGGGAAACGGGATTGCCCAGTGGAGACTAAATGAGCAGCTCTTCCCCTGTCCCATCTGTGGCAAGGTGTTTGGTAGACAGCAGACTCTTTCTAGACATCTGTCTCTACACACAGGTAAATAGACACGTACAAAATTAAATTGTTAGCGTATGTGCCCGCCGCCGCACATTCACGCGTACATTTGCATCTCTTAGTCAACATATAGATTCTGTGTTTGTGCGTGTGTGCTTGTGTTTGTGCTGCCCACAGTAAATAAATAAGGCTTACCAGACTAGATTACCCTTCCTTTAAAGAGATTACTACCATGATTAGTCTCACTGGGAAAACTGCCCGTCTAATTACCCAGCTAGAGGGATGCCTTACGGACTATCTACACACACACACACACACACACACACACACACACACACACACACACACACACACACACACACACACACACACACTCACTCCCCAGTAATTCTGATGCAGCCACGATTGTTTCCCTCTTTCACTTTCTCTCTCACACGCACAGACACGGGAGACTTCCTGAGGATGAGGCTGTACTCTCCCTCGTGTCCTGATTACACTGTTTTCAAACTTGGCCCTTCTTTGCTCTCAATTGATCCATTCTACCCCACAACTGTCTGCAATCCCTCTCCCAGCCCTTATTTAGGGGGTAAAAAAATTAATAAATATCCTGCTTCTACAATTTTATTTAAACCAAATTAATTCTGGATTAGAAATGAATGCAACCTACTTGGGATTGCAGACTAAATCACTGGGCGCACAAATGGAGACTCGTGTACAAAATGCCCCCACACAATTGGACATGCTCTCACATTTTGCGTGCACACACTACACGACACGCACACACACACCATCTGAGAGTGTTGGCTGTGAACAGCTTGGCCACACCACAGAGAGCAGAAGCAGGGGCATATGTCAGTGTGATGGTCTTTTTGGTTTCCCCGGCGACATAAAGGTTGCCTGGCTTCATGTCCTTGGGGCAAATGGTGTGTGTGTGTGTGTGTGTGTGTGTGTGTGTTTGTGTGTGTGCTTTTGAGGGGGAGCTAGAGGGAGAAGATGTGTTATGTAGATTTGTTTTGAGATAAAAGGATAGATTGTGGGGGGTTTTGCATTAGATTTCTTTGTTTATTTGATTTTATAGTACTCACAAATAAGGTAAGATTGTGTCTGTACATGCGTCATATTTTCACCATCATATCCAGGTCCCTCACTGAAAGGCTGATTTTGTCAGACTTTTTTTTTTTTTTTTCTTCCACTCGCCAGAATCAGAATTACAGCTCGGGTCAGGCAAAGGTGAGGCAGGTTAGGCATTAAGTAATTAGGTTTAAGCTTGCTTTAAAGGCTCAGAGGCTGAGCGCAACTTAATGAAATATCATCTGAGGTAATATTTACAGTAACCTGAGGTCTTTTGTCTGTGTCTATTTTGTTGCAGAAGAGAGGAAGTACAAGTGTCACCTGTGTCCTTACGCAGCCAAGTGCAGGGCGAACCTCAATCAGCACCTGACCATCCACTCTGTCAAGCTGGTCAACACCGACGCTGAGCAGATCGTCAGTGCCGTTACAGCAGACTCTGCCGAGCGCAAGAACTGCCCCTACTACTACAGGTAGTACAGACCAAAACACGCAACCCCCAGCTCTGTTTAAGATGTCTTGAGCCAACATCAGAGGTTGGAATCAATGATCTGTATCTGCTGTTTGATGCCTAATTATACAAAGATATATTTCTTGATTTTTGTTTCTCCCCAACTGCTCTATTTTATTCATTTGTTTTTCAACTTGTCTATTTTTGTAAATAATTTATCTGGAAATTCACTTTCTTGACAAGAGTTAGACAGTAATACAGTAATACAGTATGAAGCTACAGCCAGGAGAGAGATGGCTTAGACTGGAAGCAGGAGGGAACACCCAGTCTGGCTCTGTCCAAAGGTAAAAAAATAAATAAATCCATCTGCCAGCACCTCTGAGTGTCACTAATTAACATGTGAAACCTTATTTTGTTTAATCTGTGCAAAAACCAACTCTCTCCTAGCTGTAGCTTCATACTTACCACACAAACAGGAGTTTTCTCAGTCTTCTCATCTAACTCTCAGCAAGAAAGTGAATAAGCGTATTTCCTAAAATATCATACTATTGCTTTAATGCTTTTATGGGGCTAATAATGAGGAGAGTTCAATAGCGGCATGTCTGTAGTGTGGAAATATTTCATTTTCAATTATCTTATTTATCCACTCTGTACCACTTACCAATTTATGCGGACATAATATAACACTAAAGCTGACTGTCCCTCCCCCACCTCCCTCGTTATTCTCACCATCTTCCTTCCTTTTCCTCTCTGTTCTCTGTCCAGCTGCCATGTGTGTGATTTCCAGACGGAGCTGAACGCGCAGTTTGTCAGCCACATGTCGCTCCATGTGGACAAGGAGCAGTGGATGTTCTCTCTCTGCTGCAGCGTCTGCGACTATGTCTGCATGGAGGAGAACGACATGAAGAACCACATTAGTACTGGACATGCAGGTACAGACTCCCTGATGATGCACGGTGGTCCACTGGTTCTGAGTGACAGAATTAATAGGATAGCCTTTGTCTAATAGTGAAAAACACCCCTCAGTGACTTCAAATTTTTTATTAACAAATGTAATTTATTACTGCTACATAACAAAGACACACAGCAAATCCTCAGATCTGACACTCAAATACATAAAATTTATTGATTATCAAAACTGTTGCTGTTTTCGACCTTTGATTAATCGACTATTTGTTTCAGCTCTAGGGTGTAATGTTCTTGTTTCAGGTGTTCGTGCCGGGTGCTCAAACATGTACTAGATAGAAGAAAAGTAGATGATTCAACTCGTAGAAAAATGATTTATGGAGTTATTTTCAAAATTACTCTCACATGTTAGAGTGGGTGGTAGCTTACACATTGTGGCTCTTGTTCACAGCTCAGAATAGAAATACAGTGCAGTACTTGGACAGTGACACATTTTCTATTGTTTTGGCTCTGTGCTTCAACACATGGGGTTTAAATTTAAACAATGGCTGAGGTTAAAGAGCTGACTTTCAGCTTCAGTTTTAAGAACTGCTGCCTTTTTATACATAGTCCAACGATAAGGTTACAATTCCTACGCTGTTCGCTTAATTTGTACAGGTATGTAAACACCCTCAGATTGAAGCTCAAACTGTTGTTCCCTTACAGTCAGTGTTTAATTTAGGACTGCGGCTAATCATTATCTATATGTGTAGTTGACCAATTGGTCTTTAAAAAAATTAAGATGACCGAATTGACACATGTAAATAGCTTGTTTTCTCCAACCAAAAAAGGACATTCAGTGTGCAAATGTTTTTTGGCATTTTGTTAAAAAAAAAAATGACATGATTAATCGAGTAGCAAAATCTGTACAGATATCAACTAACTGACAAATGTTTCAGCTCTGCTTTCATCTCAGAATTTAGTGTGCTTTACAACAGAACCAACACAATAAACATCACTGTTTAAATATGTACTGTTTCAAGTCAAAACTAATGTAATAATAATTTACACTTCCTAAACACACGGCTCTGTCTCAGTTCAGAGGGCGCAGAGAAAGACAAGCAGTAGAATTGGGTTTCACAAACAAGCCTCCTCCAGTCGACCTTCTTTGGACTTTTAAAGCTGCTGGTGTGAACCCCTGGTGGTCGATATGAGTGTTTTTGTCTAAAACAGCTTTGTCCAGTTTATTGCCGACGTTTTGCTCTACTCACTGTTCCTGAATGTGTGTTTGTATTTGTGTGTGTGTGGGTGGGATTGTCCGGCCCAGACAGCTGAGGGGTCTTTCAGAGGCCACAGTGGCCTTGTTTATCTGAGAAGGTTGGCCCTTATCGTGCCTGAGGGGAAAAAATCAATAGGCCTTGGGTCCTTTGGAGACGAGCTGGGTTTACGATGCCACTGTGGCCATCTTTAAAGTCTCTCATCCTGGCTTGGCATTTATCTCAGTCTCACACAAGATGGACACCACCGCCAAACACAGAAGAAATATACAGGAGTGTGGCTCCTGTATTCTACCTTCTGTATGTGGAGATTTTAATAATTTCTCTTGGTCCAGCCCTGTTTGTTTAAGTGTGTATACTTCAGAGCGTATGGGAGATAGAGCACCGCCTGGAGTGAATCCTGATGGTCTGTAAATTAAGGCTAGTTATCTGGTCAACTGTGTGGACACGCCCAGGCATGAGATGGCTGAGCTCAACAGGTGTCTAGTTCAAACTGACCCCCTGCGAAGACTGGACTCTACATGGGGAAGGGGTTGGTTGGATGACCTTCTCTGTAGGGGTGGAGGTTGTGAATCCTGGTGGTGACAGTATTCTTTGGTATCTACCCTGGATACTTTGGCAGATAGTGCTGAGTTAGCTTCTTTATTTCCATTCCTATATCACGAATGTTGCCGGGCGATCGCAGGCGAAAATATTGGGTGAGAGAGAAAATTGAAAGTTTTTCAGTTGGTGTTTCAAGGTCGAGGCCCACTGGCTGCCTACATTCTGTGCCATTAGCCTTTTGGATATTGTAATAGAAGGCAAGTGTATGTTAAATACTGCAGTAGAGGAGATAAAAGCTTCCTCACGTCGGTTCAATACTGTATTCAATATTCTGCAAAGACTGTGCTGTGAACGACCCTGGTATATTTATTTGATTGAAGGAAATTAATCACATCTTCTATTGCTGGATTGCTCTGCATTCCTGTAGGTTTTAGTCTCGTGTGTGTGTGTGTGCCTGTATTAAAAAGATAAGTCAACCATTTCAGGATCTGTGCAGCCCTTTCTCCCTTTTTTTCACTCACTTCCTGAGTGAATGCCCTTTGTTGAGCTGTGCCCTGAGATGCTCCCGCCATCTTAGCTCCTTTGGCCATGACCCACGTTCCTCACCCCTCCCTCCCTTGCGCCCCCTCCCCTTCTAATTCCCTCTCTCTTCCCAGTGAATTGCAGACTTAGAGAAGGGGATCAATAAAAGCACACTGCATCTTGATTTGACTGGCAGTAGGGCCTCAGTCAGAGTGCAGGACTGTGGAGGCTGCCTGCTTGTATTCTGTTTGTGTGTATGTCAGTGTGTGTATGCATGTACCTAACAACGTTGGGGTTCTTGAAACTGCTTTCAAGCATGCCCCACAATGTTTTCAGTTATTAAATTTTCTTTAGTTGGAGCTGGAACAATTTTTCCCCCCACAACATTGAGTTCAATAATGATGATAAAGATGTCTTACTTTCCGCTATCTGTCCTCTTGTGTCCAGGTCTGAACTCAAGGAGTCCCCTCAGCGAGACCAAGAGCACGTCCTCATCCCTCTCGGCCCTCAGCGATTCACTCAACAGCTCGGAGGGCGGAGATCTCACCCATGGTAACGAAGAACTCAGGGGCCTGCTTGCCCCGCCCTCCTCCGCAGGCAGCCAGTCCAGCTCCGGAAGCCACTCGGGATCAGGGACTGAGGACAAGTCTGACAAAGGCAAGGAATTGTAGGAACTATTGCAACCAGATACGCTTCATCATTTGAAAGCACCTGTGTGTGTGTGTATGTATGTATATATGTATATATATATGTGTGTATATATATATGTATATATATATATATATATATATATATATGTGTGTATATATATATATGTGTGTATATATATATGTGTGTATATATATGTGTGTATATATATATGTGTATATATATATATATATATATATATGCACGACTGAATGGGCAACAATAAAATCCAGCAGGTATTATTAAAGAAGAGTTTATCATTCAAAAACTAAGCTAATTAGCTTGATCGAGGCAGTGTGGCTGTGGTTTGATCAGATTTGATTGACGTCAAACAACCCACCAACTAGTAAGTGCACAAAAGTATGCAACATCGTCTTTTTCCAGCTGGCCCCGCCCACTTCAACCCAGTTAGAGGCTCACAGGAAAAATGCTTTTATCTTTAATGTGAAACAACCAGAACTGTTCTAACTGGCAGAAAAAAGTATAATCACCTTAATTATTTGAAAATGTACAAAGACGTAACACTTTAACAGCTCTTTGGTCAGAAAGCTGCTCACTCTGGGTAACGGACCAAATACACTTACATTTATTTATTTAGCTCACACTTTTCTCCAAAGCAGCTTACAATTGCTATATACAACAGATGTCGGACGACTCTGGAGCAACTAGGGGTTAAGTGCCTTGCTCAGGGACACCGTGGGAATCAAACCCAAGCTTCCCACACCAAAGGCATGTCTTATCCGCTGCGCCGTCGCCAAATACACGTGTCAAGAAGACAAGGGATCATTCACTTGTACCTTTGTCATTCAAAAATACACACGTTAATCCAGAGCAGTTACAGAGCATTACATGTTGACTTCATTCTCTTAATTGTGTGTGTGGCCTAATCCCTGCTTTCTTCTTCCATTAAAAAAATTTAACACGGCAATCTTTTTTATCTCGACCCCACTGCATCAATTTTGACCACTCTTCTTTTTTTTCTTTTACTTTATGAAAATGCCGGAGTACTCCTTTAACAGCTGGTACTCTTGCATGTATTCTCTATTTATGTTAAACCTGACTTTTCCCAGTATCTGAATGAGATTTCATTCATGCTGGGTTAAATTTAAAATCATTCAAAATCATCATCATAAATTAAGACTCTGTCTTAACTCACCCTCTCCTCTTTCCTTCTCTACAGGCTTCGAGTGTGTCTTCTGCAATTTTGTGTGCAAGACGCGTAGCATGTATGAACGTCACCTCCAGATCCACCTCATCACGCGAATGTTTGAGTGCGACGTCTGCCACAAGTTCCTCAAGACACCCGAGCAGCTGCTGGAGCACAAGAAGTGCCACACCGTCCCCTCCGGAGGGCTCAAGTAAGGAAAGCAAGTACAGACAGAGGTTCCTAACTCCGCCCGTCCTTCCCCTCCCTCAACCTTTTAAGTCACTACACACAAAAACAACAGTATATTCACATTCATAGGTACCAGGGGTGTGCAAGTAACGCCATACTTAAAAACTGAAGAAACTATGGTTTCACTTACTTTAAATGCACCATTTAGCTTATTTCACATACATAAAATCATGCATTTAAAATAAATTAAAGGATACAGAAAATGCATCATTTCATATACATAAAGCTGACTGACATTATCGTGGTTCTTTTTAATAAGAGCTAATTGTAACAGCCATACAGATGACACCTGTAAACTTTAATTAAGATTATTTGTGGTCTTTTTGAAGATTATTCCAGCCATGTGTCCTTCATCAGTTAACCTCAGTTTAATGTTCATTATCGGCAGCCAGCAAATGAAACAATACAAGCTGTAGTTTTGCTCGACAGCCTCTTTTGGCAAGTGTAACTTATTAGACAGTGGTCTCTGACAGAAGGGAGAGTGGAAAGGAGATGGGTGCTTTGCCTCAGGGTCTGTTGTTCCACTGCCCACAGCCAACGGCCATGCCAAAGAAAAATAGCTGGTGAAAACCTGCATTCCAGAAAGCTAATTCGTCCCCCCCCAATAAAGGCCACTCGTACTGTGTATTACGTAAAATTTGTTGGCACACCCCTGGAAGATAATCATTTAGAAGCAAGTGCGCACACTCCATAGATGTTGGATCACTTACATTTGTAATATCATAGACCGGACATTGAAACAAGTCAATTCAAAATATATAGTCACAAAACTAATGCATGTTTTCAAGCGTCCACGCTCACACATCTGATAACACAACATGCATTTTGTGGACAGAATGATCCTGATGAAGCTTCAAAATAAAAACCTAACTCACACTATAGTTTGCATCCCAAACACTTCAGACCCCTACATATATAAATATATTGACAAGTACTCATGCACCTGCATGCACATTTTATTTTAACCTATCTTTGATACGGCAGCCTTGTTTTTCTAATACTGACACACTGTTTATGTAGTAGTTATGTAGTCTCCTCACATGCTTCCCTCTCCATCTCCATACTCCAGTCTCACAGGAGCCTTTGTTGTACTGTGACACGTTTATGTCCTATTTCAGGCCTGTCAACCTAACATAAAGCCCATCTGTCGATTTCAACATCCAAACCACACACTGAAGATGTCAGTGTTTGAGTTTAGGCTGATCATAAAAATGTACAACTTCAGTTCCACAGTGCCAGTTTTTGCCAACATTTAGTATAAAACAAAAGAAACGCTTCAACACATGACCATATTTGCCTAAATATTTAGGAAAAAGTCCAGGAAACTAAATATTTTGTAAAGATTCAAGTAACACGACCCATTTTTTTGTTTTTGAGTTGTTTTCATAACTCCAGTCTGTGCATGTGCAGAACCATTGAGATTCATTATGATTACCGCCTCATCTTGTCATAAATGAAGATCTGTATTCATCTTTTTTACATATTGTGTACATCTTTTTTTCTGTGCAGCCATCGGTGGTGTTAGGATGTTCTCAACATTGCTAAATGTCTGGAAATGGTAGCATTTCACTAAATGTAAACTAGGGAAGCTGCCAACACAGTTAAATTGACTTGTATTTTATACAAATCCTGTGGCTAACAGAACTCAAACACACAAGAAGCCCCTTCATAGCTCAAAGATCTTCACACAGCACCTTTAGTCACTTACTTGAGGATTTGCTGCTAGCTGTAGTGTGTGAGTGAATACATGTGAAGGCGTTTTTATAACAGTTTTAATGTTTCTTCTGTCTGGTGTTAATGTTTTTGAAGCCAGATTGATTTATTATGTTAGCTTTCAAAAGGGAAAGAGACAGGTTGAAGATTCTTTTTATTCAAGGGAGAAAGAAAAGAGATGGAGGAACTAAGCTCTTTTGTGATCTTTTACAATCAAATGTATCAGAAAATTCAACCTGTTTGCTGTCCTGTTTATACATCTGCACATGTGGGTTATATTTTCAGTTCTTTAAGGTTTACAGTCTCTTAATTTATGTAAACCATATTTATATTTACTTTCAAAAGCAGGCAGGATTAAGCCTGGTGTCGTATGAGTTAATGGCCTTAAGGCAAGCAGGTTTTAGATAAACTCTTATTGCCTACATTTTCTGACCCCCAAGGTCCAGATAAAGATTTCTTTCTAGACCAGTGTGCACTTGAGCAATGTGAAGTGTTTCTATATATGTAGGAGTGTATAGAAAGAAAGCGAGGGCCTTGACCATTTCGAGGTTTTTCTGAGGTGATTCTGTTCTGCAGGGTTTGTGAAGCGCTTTGGGGCCCAGAGCAGATGAAAGGTGCTATTTAAATGTAAGTGCCACTCCATTCCTTCATTTCCTTCATGTCCTACTGCTCCAATCTTTTCTCCAGCCTGTCACCCCCCCCCCCCACTCCCCCACCCCCCCGCCATTCTCCTCCTCCACTTACACATATACCTGATCACCTCAATTCTCCTACCATTAAACTGCCACACATATCACCATGAGCACACAGAACTGTACATGATACACACTTTTCCTTTACCTGTCCTTCTCCTCTTCATCAGTTTGTGTAATGAAATTTCAAGGAGTGTTATGTGGTTTTGTGTATGGACGCTTCCCCTTCAACTGTCTTTTGCTTTTGTGTGTTTCCTCCCTCCCTACTTCCCTTTTGTTGCATTTCCCAGGTGCCCTTTCTGCATCTACTCCACCAATCGTCCAGCGGCCATGGAGTGCCACCTTAAGACGCACTGTAAGATGGAGTACCGCTGCCGCATCTGCCAGGGACAGTGGCCCGACCAGGCTTCATTGGAGGCCCACATGCGCGGGCACCGCCTGGGCAACCACTACAAGTGTGAGCAGTGTGGCTACTTGTCCAAGACGGCCAATAAGCTGATCGAGCATGTGCGCGTGCACACGGGCGAGCGGCCCTTCCACTGCGACCGCTGCTCTTATAGCTGCAAGCGCAAGGACAACCTCAACCTGCACAAGAAGCTGAAGCATGCGCCGCGCCAGACTTTCGGCTGCCAAGAGTGCCCTTTCACCACCACACACCCCTTTGTCTTCAGCCGACACCTCAAGAAACACCAGAGCGGAGGAGCGGGGGGACTGGGCGGAGGCTTCGGAGGAGAAGAAGAGGAGGAAGACGAGGACGCAGGAGAGGAGGAGCTGCCACTCCAGGGAACGTCACCGGGGGACTCGTCAGCGCAGAAAAGCCAAGAGAACTTCCTGTTCAGCGGTGGAGGAGGGAGCAGTGGAGGGAGTGGGAGTAACAGCCCTCTCATGAGTCTAACAGCGTCTCAGGCGCTTCAGTCTGTCGCCCTGTCACTCACACTGGGCAAGTCCCACCAACTGGACGCCTCCGGCCCTCTGCACTGCTTGGTCAGCACCAACGGCAACAACGCCACCAGAAACCCCGGCGGCCCGAGCAGTGGCAGCGCCTCCCTCTTCCTGCCCTCCTCCCGTCACGTGTTTGAGCAGTACAGGAACTGCGACCGGGCGCACCTGATCCCCCTCACCACCCTGTTCACCCACAACAACCGCTTCACATTCCACTCGCACCTCCACTCCAGATGGCGGCCCTCCACATCTCCTCTCCTCTTCTCCTCCAACTTGGCGTCCCCCTCCCGCTCTCCCGCCTCACCCACCTCTCACAAACACTCCTTCCTGGCCTACCTGGGACTGATGGAGAGGGCTAAGACTGTTTAACCTCGCCCACCTCCTCTCCTCCTCCTCACCCTCGCTCTTTCCCTCACTCCTCGGACAGTGGTGTGAATGACACTTGACCACTGCTGTGGGAGCAATGTCTTTTCCAATCAGACCAGCAGAATAAGCTGGACCAGACAAACATATTGAAAAAAGAAAAGAGAGAAAAAACATTTATAAGAGAAAAAGGCTGTACATGCTAAAAATGCATTTATATCAAAAAGCTGCTTTTCTTATCAGTTCTATCATTGAATTATTACTACTTCAGCTACTACTCTCTATTACCTTTTTTTTCTGTTTTTAAATGTCTGAATGACCTGGACCCAGTTGCATTATCTGAGGAAACTAACGTATCTCAATTTTATAGATTTGTTTTTTCTTTAGTTGTTTGATGAGATGAAAAGTTGAAAAAGACGAAACAAAACTTGCAAGTGCTACATTTTAGTGCATTTTTGTCTCTTATTATGCATCGAAATAGCATGCCTGTTTCTGTGTTTCAACTAGCTTTGACGTCATTAGGAAGCTAAATTCGAGTGTTAGCGGTGCAACGTGGACAGAACCAATGAAACGGAAAAGGGCCCGTTTCCAAAGCAACGCCTCAAACCACGCACTTACTTATTTATCAGTCTTGTACATAGTTTTGTAGCCCTTCCCATCTTTTTGATTTCTGTTGGGGGTTTTTTGTATAATGGTGAGACCATATTATGCATAGCTGCTGTTTGATAACCACCTCTGTCTCAGAATAAATGTAATTTAAATGAGTTAACTAGCTAATTTTAAGAGTTTTTTTTTTTTTTTTGTAAGCTCACAAAACAGAAAATAAGCTATGATAATGTAAATAAGGAAAATATTCAATCTGACCTATCATGGCAAGAAACATACATTACTAATATTTTGATTTGAATATAAAGATGTTGCCAATGAATTTGCACTCACGGGTGAATAAGCAGTGAAGTGGAAACATCAATTCATTATTTCTGAGACCAGGTGGAAATCAGTGCGGCTTCATGTGCAGAACTATGTATCACGCACCTGTACTTAGAAGAGATATATGAGATAACTGTTTTGTGGAGGTGACCGGCTCCGGGTTAGCGAGCTACCCACAGCCACGGTCACCACAGGCCGATTCAATGGTGCTTTTTGGAGCTTTTTGTAATTTTTGTGTACAAAAAAAGAAAAGAAAAAACCTGTTCCAAAATGACTTGAATGAATGTATTTTGTTTATGTACATGAAAATGAAGCGATACAGAAGTGTGAACAGGGACGTCTTCTGTGCTGGAAAAGACGGGAAAGCTAGTGTGTTTGGTGGCCTTCTGTGTCTTTTTCTTTTGGTTTGTCTCTTGTGTTTTTTTATTTCTACTTTTTTTTTTTTTTTACTGAGCCTTTTACATCATAATAAAACATTTTCTACTAACATTCATAGAGAACCCATTGTGAGAAAAAGCTCTTGTAGGTGCAATGACGAAGCAAAGCCATTTGCCACTTGTACAGCATTGTGTTCAATGGCACTGGCTTCTGTTAGGCCGGCAGACATGGTACTGCTTTTTGCCCCCCCCCCGGTAACCTTTTGAGTTTTAATTGCACTTAAAGTAGTTACACTTCAAGCCAAAAGCACTTAAACCTTTAATTTTCCTCTTTTTTTTTTAAAGTGCAAACTTAGATCCACCAACTTATAATAATGTGAAGTAGAGAGTAGTTGTTGGAAATGACTCAATCAACACCCCTTAGATTCACATGTAGGCATTTCTAGCAGTGCAAAAGGGTCTACCTCTGTGAAATCGGAGAAAGCAAATGAATACAAATTGCATGAATTAGACAGTAGAGGTCAAGCTCTCCCTGGGAACTAAAGGTCCCAGGCTAAATTGTGATGAGCCAATTTTGCACAGTGCTGCACTTTTTGATTAAGAGAATTATGTATTTATCCGTAAAAATGCTCAAAAAGAAGTGTTTGCGAGATAGGGCAGCGTAGTAAAAGCATTTTATTTTGAAAGCTTTACCCTTTATTAAAAGCGCTTGTGTTTGTCAGTGGTCTTCAAGCCAAAATCCCTTATTTGTAAAGGGATTGTTTTTTATTTTGCTTATGTTTTCCTTTTGTCTGTTTTGCTCATGCATTTTCTTATTACAAATCATTGTTGCTTTGCTTTTTATTTTTCTACTTAAATTATGTCAGAAAAATGTTGATTGGACAGAGAACAGAACTTGTCAAGACCAAAATATATCTCACCGCAGGATGTGATGTTAGGATTGAATCCGTCACATCCTGCTCTGGAGCAATGCCTCGATTGTCCCCTTTTACACTGCTGTTTGTTCCTTTTTGCTCTGTCCATGTTTGGCATGTTGTCTCTGGAGTAAAAGGAGCATCCCTCCAACACACACACACTCTCCTTGTACTATCTATGTTATCTTTTATACTCTAGTGCCACATGGTGGAAGGACACCACCTGAGACTTCTGAGAATAAGTCAAACTAATTGTCAGGGTCCAAAAGAAAAAAGATGAAAAGAATCCACTCTTGTCTCCGTTTTATTAAAATGTCTGCCTTTTATTACAGCGTAATCATGAATGGCTGCACTTCTTTATGCCCCCCCCTAGTTTTAGTGTAATATTTAAAAAGGCAACAGGGCTCCTTTTGAAAACCAGTATTCTTAAGCACTTATTGTATTTTTGCCCAATTATAAGCAGCACAGTTACCTTTTTTCAAAGCTTGACTACCTTTTCAGCACTTCAGAGTATGCATGACATTGTCCTCTCTCTAGTTCTTTAGCACTTAAATGTGTTTAAAACTAACTCCCTTGTTGCATTTAGTTAGCATCACACTGCACTGTCTACAATCAGCTTTACGTTTGGCTGTGTTTTATGATTAGAAAAAGGCTCAACTATCTTATATTTTGGCACTTGGTAAAGATTGGTATGTGCTGTACAAAGCTTTTTTTTATTACTCCATTGTTAAGGCTGTACAGGGTTGTGACGATAACTGGTAAATAGATCATTTGTACTTTTTTGGTTTTTGTATTTGTTTTTCTTTATTTGACATTATTTTATGTTCAACTTGCCAGATCTTAATGTAACAGGATTTGAAAGTAAAGCTTACATCAGATATTACGTCAGTTGTTTGTCTTTTCTCTGTTCATTCTTATCACATTTGTCCACCACATACATATAACAGATTTAATACAGTGCACACGATACAGGGGCCCTCATGCCTTAACACCCACAACACTATGAAACCTCAATCTAATTTTGGGGGAATTTCATAGATTTGACAAATCTCTTTGTATACTGTAAAGTTTATTTGCATGTTGAAGATTTGAAAGGTGAGCCATACCACTGTGAGCAGATAGCAGTAGTACCCCTTTGGTGCCACAGCTGCTGGCATGGACATTTAAGTGATCCAATATGACTTGGGCTAAATTAATCTGTAGTTGTGATGTAATTTCTTCACATTTCCAATCTTGTTTTCAGAAAATGTCTTCTTTTTTCACAGCCTACAGGATGTTTTACTGCATGGAGGTGGTGGTGGCATGGTGACACCTACTCTGACTTGGAAGTAGCCCCCAATGCATAGCACAGGATCACCAATTGTCATATGGCATTTTATATACTACTATAATCCTATAATCGTGAAAAACCTTCACTAGGATTAAGGTTTGGATATGGTTGACTATATGTGTTTACATAGAAATTTCTTTAAATTAATTTGGACAACAGTGTGAAATAATTACTACAAATCAATAATACGATTCCACTGAAAGTCAATAAACAGTCAGTACTGAATATTGCCCAGCCCTAACTGGGATCCTCATATTTACACTTCAGCATTTAGCTCATTTGAGTCAACTTTTAAGGAGTGCAAACAAAAATGCCTTGGTGCCCGTTCAGTATTCCTCTGAAAGAGAATAGCAAGTAAAGACAGAAAAGTAAAGGCTAAGAAGAGATCAAAAGCATGTTTCACACCAATAAGGGCAGCTGAAAAGAGCAGCTATCATTCTGCGGGAAGACCAGGACATGAGTTAAGGAGACGCACTGATCATCTTTGATGGAAGTAGCATTCTGTAATTTATAACGATGGTGTGCAATCATAATAATAAGGAATAGGATCTGTCATGGTGTCTAGCTGGTGTTTTTATTAGACCGATGGGAGGTCTCTCTCCCTCTCCTTCCTGTGTTGTAGTAATGAAAGTTACAGCACGTTCTCGCCCAGCCAAAGGTTGGCCCTGCCTAATGAAAACAGATGAAGCAGAGATAAAGTGTTTGCCGACATTAAGGGACTCATTTATCACCGTTAGCCCCCGAGCTATAGAACACCTTGGTCTGGAGCTCTCCTTTAACCAGCCCTGGCTCACAGCACCCTGGTGGCACGCTGCAGCCTTCCAGGCACACGAACACCTCCATCTTTACCTCTCTTTCTCTTTCATTCGTTGCGGTTTTTGCATGGCTTTAACTGATAACATCACTGTTTACATCTCCGTGGGCATATTGGCTCCTCCACGGGGGTTTATATAAGTTAAAGTGTGGTTTTAGCTGTAAAACAAAGAAAGAACTTTAGAGGAACCTTTATGAAATCTAAAGGATTTGGCAGTCCTTTCGGGACCTTCATCACCGCGCCCTCAGTGTTGACCCATTTGGGTTCAACAGCCATCCGAAGCCGAATCTCTTCTGTTGAAGGGCCATGTTCTCATCTAGCGGCTCATCTTGCCTGTGTAATAATGAATCTTTTCGGCTGTGTTTAAAGCTGCTTAATTAAGTTCAAAGCGGCGCTCCGGGCACTGTGCGCCTGCTCATCTGACCTCCCTATGAGTGGAAGTGTTGATTAGGAAGTGAAGAGACATGTAGGCACTGCAGGGGATGGCTATTGATTGAAAGGATAGAAAACCTCATTTGGATTTTGTGATTGGAAGATCACACTGTACACTGGGGCTGTTTTTCTTCATTTAGCGAATAACAATAACTCCATTTCTGAACTGACAGTTTGGTGAAATTGTCAACTAAGTGAGGAATTTCTGTGATAAGACTAAACGCTGGAGTTTTCCCTCATCCCAATAATAGCCCTTCACCCCGGCCAGAGCTGTCTGCACAATGTCGACCTTTCGACACCACCTCGCAAAAGTTGGCCGCTGTCGATCGATAGCGTGTTAGCTTTTTGTTTGAAGGTTCAGGCTGCCTTGGCTTTATTACAGCTGCAGAGAGTCATGGGGGAGTCGTGCATGGCTTTGTGAGAGAGGAGCTCCCTCTTGTTTGCCAAAAGTGTAATCCCGCCGTGACCCGCCGTGACCCTGCCCTGAGAGGAAAGCTGCTTAGACAGAAGTGCGTGTCTGTGGGAGCTCCCAGCTGCCTGGCCTCTCTCTCTGTCTCTCTTTTTCCTCTCTATTTTGCTCACTACATCTACCTCACCCCACAACCTATAGCTCCATATGCATCTTTCTATCACACAGACTCTCTCCTTTTGCCCCTCAATCATTGCTTTCTCCTCTCCGGTTTACCTCCCCGCTCTATTCTGCCCTTTCATTTCTCCTTCTCTTACAGTAAAACTCCATGCATGCTCCACTCAGCATCATTACTTCCAAGACTCCCCTCTCCTCCTCACCCCCCCCCCCCCCCCCAGCATCGAGGTTTTTACCCTGTGAAGGAGCTGAGGCTTTGCTAAGTGGAGACAGATCTCCTTTTTTTTTTGCTCCAACAGAGAAAATAAACACACAAAGTCCTGCCATAGACAGCCTTCAGTACAGGCCAGGAACACTGGCACAGAGGAAAGAGAAAATGAAGGAAGAAAATGACCTCTGGAATCGATTTGGCATGGGTTGAAGCCAGGGCTAAAACTGTGCGAAATAAGGCACCGCTGAGGCTGCTTGTTTGTTTGTAAAATCTATTCATGTTTGAGAAAATTAGGCACAGAAATGAATCAGTAAATATGAAATTTCATGTTTATTCAGTCCTTAATAGTGTGTAGAAGTTGTTCATGTCTGCACAGGCCACTGGAAGTACATGCAGTTTTATGCAAATTGCAAGCTAAAAACAAAGATGTCAGGTTCAGGTCTATGTTAAAAAAAAGAAAAGAAAAAAAAGACACACCTGAAATCCACCTGGGAGAGCAGCGCAGAGAGAGATGATCTGCAGGCTCGTGTGGTGTGTCACTCACTCGCCACTCTTGATTTGGGTTGGACACGCATGGTGGGACATGTTTTTACATGCATGTTTGGTGCCTAGCCCAGGGGCATAGCATCGTTGCCTGCCCGACCCCCCGCAGCGCCCGTTCCCCATTCTCTGGGGTGAGACATCACTCGGCGGGGGTCAGCAGCAATCTGATCCAGGAAGCACTACGGGGGGTGTTTTATTTTTTGGGGGGGGGGGGGGGATTACCCACAAGTACGTGGGCATGGCGTATCCAGAGTTAGGGCAGCCTGAATCAGTAGGTGGGGGGCAGCTCATACCCCCCTGCTGGGTGATGCCTCAAAAATAAAGCTACTGCTTGGCCACTCCAACTGGATGACAAACGCATTACAGAAGAGAGGAAGGGGAGGAGGAGGAGGAGGAGGGTGATAATGGGCAGAGGGAGAGCAGCTCTAAGTATGATCATGTCTTTGAAATAGATAGGACACAAGCCAGCCAACTCCCCTGTTGTTTGGCTCTGCTGTTTCCATGGCAGTCTATGACAGTCACCAGCCATAGGTTACTTGGTTTCTATGGGTAACAGTTGGCACTGCACTTCATTCACATCTGTGACATCAAACCTAAAGATATTGCCTACTGATTCTCAGTAAGTAAAATCTCTCTGGCTGAAATACAAGATGTTCATTTTGAAATATCTACATTGTTGTTGTTGTTTTTTTACCATTTTCATCTGTGAGATGCAATGATTTCAATGATTCAAGTCTGCTGAGATCTGAAGTGGGGAGATTGGGTTAGAGAGAGCTTAACAGAATAGCCCAAGGTCAAGCCCAAACTAATCAGGCTCCTCATTTCCCTGGATGGAGTAATGAAGTACAACGCTGACCTCCGGTTGACTCTGGGAATCTGTAGCAAGGAAAACTGGCCTGGAGACCAATTAGCCAAAAAGTAAACGGAAATATTAAAACAGAGCTGTCATTTATTAATAAATATGATCCGAGTCGCCCAAAAAGAAGCTTCAAAGTGCTTAAATGTACCTTTACGTGAAAAAGAACAGTTTGATGTTTTACACCTGCTGTCACGGAACCTTAAATATTGCAGGATAACAAGCTCCTTTTGGTCCGCGTCCTAAAGATGATTTGTGCTGAGGGTTGATTACAACCTGGTTAGCTCTCCTAATTATCTCATGCACTTGAGCTTTTAATGATTTCCGTGATTCAATTATCCCTAACTGAATTCCTGTCTTCAATCAATTAAAGCCATAGCTGCACACTCATCCATCTTCCAATCAGGACATCGGGAATCCCTCCATCCATTTTCATTTGAGAAGAGAGTGGGTCAAACAAATTAACAGAAATCGCATCCATCCATGTCTTTTCATCTTTTTTTCACACGTTCTAACCTTTTCTGCTACTTTTACTTTGTTGCTCTTCAGCGTGGCAAGGATTTGTTTGGGTTGGGATCGCTGTAGTTTGTGTCCTCAAAAAATAGGTTTTGACTATTTTTCTTTCAAAATGATAGAAGTTGCAGTTAAATATTTTTAACTTTATTATAAATAGGAACAATATGGGTCTCCTGAAACCCTGACCCTTCGTCTGCACAAACGACTGTTGTGCTGTGTGATTAGAACGTATTCTCCCGAAACCTTGAATAAATACAGCATATTCTTTTATCTAAAACCCCTTTGTCCTGATCCTCTCTGCTGGTTATTGTGATACCTGATGTGGAGGTGAGCGACAGTGGCTCTCTTCATCTCTCAAGCACACTCTCGCACAAAGACACGTAAAGACACACACACCATACACTTTTGAACACAAACACACACAGAGTTTGGCACCATCTGCTGGAACACTGAGAAACATGTAGGAGAAACATTTAGCCTAAGAGGATACTTGTAATAAGTAAACTATAAAAAGGATTGGTGAAAAATAAAATCTATGGCCTCAAACAAAAATCCCATATTGTTCCAAATGTGAGGTCAAACATGCACAAACATA